CCTGGCCCCCCATCTAGCTCAGCCCCTGTTGTTGATAGCAACAAAAAATATTATAAAAGGTGGGTTAAAGGTGACCAAAAACAACATTTAACCCAAAGACCAAATAAATTGTTTGTCCGGTCTTTAATCTAGAGCAGAACATATGTATTTCAATTGGATTTAAAGTTGACTTATAGCACATTATACCACTTTGATTTCTCTTTTCACAGTTTAACAGACAGGGATTGGATCAGAAGTGGCCCTCTGCAGCATGTGGCAGTGATGGGAATGCAGGGATGAGTTGCATCAGCTTCACAATGGGCGGAACTTAACCGAAACCACTTTGCACCGCTTTATAGAAGAAACGATCAGCCAAACATTCCTAATTATTAAGACTAATTGCAATGCACGCTATTTCTGTCTGTTTGAGTGTTTGTTTCTCACTGAAAAGTGCTGCGAAGGTTTTCAGCTGATTCAACTTTCCCTCAGTAAAAAAGCAGCAGGTTTTGCTTTAAGAACCTGAGGGGAAGAAAAAAAAGCAAGCGACACCAACCTTAATCTCTGCGATTAATTCCTCCTTTTTCAGATTATGCTTCTCGGTGACACAGATGCCATGTTCCTCCAGGATGGCCCTGCAGCGAGGGTCAACACTTTCACTGATCAGCACCGTTTTAATGCAAATCGGAGCCATCTTTGAGGGGGGGTCCGCTGCCTGCTGGTGTCCTCGGTGGGGGGAAATTCACTGGTGGATGTGGAGGTGAAATGATAGACACTGGACGAGTTCCGATCCGTGCTTATTGTTTGGTGTTCTGAACGGCTTTCACTGATTTCACATGGACTCCTTTTTAATATGGTCCCGCCTCTCGAGCATCTCCTGTTGTGACGTAACCGCGCGTGAACGCTAGAAAACCAGTTTGCTTTAATTACCACGCGTCAAATTTACTCAGTGCCAACTTTTGATCCAAACTCCATTTATATTGATTATGATTGTCCTTTTATAAGTAAGAACACTACGGAAGAGGATTAGGGCCACTGAAAAAAAAAAAAGTTTTTAAATTTGATTTCAGTTTGATATGGGAAAAGGTCAAAACTAAAGTCAGAATTCTGAGGAAAAAGTCAAAGTTCTGAGATTAAAGTTAGAATTCTAAGGAAAAAGTCAGAATTCAGAGATTAAAGACAGAATTCTGAAATTAAAGTTAGAATTCTGAGGAAAAAAATTAGAATTCTGAGATTAAAGTCAAAACTCAGAGGAAAAAGACAGAATTCTGAAATTAAAGTCAGAATTCTGAGATTAAAGTCAGAATTCCGAGAAAAAAGTACTTTTCTAAAAGTAGAACGTGAGGCAAGTATTTTTTCTTTTGATCAGGTTCTCTTCTGTTGAACCAACTACTGAGGCAGACACCCTGTGCACTTTGGTTTGCTTAAAACTTTCCTTTTTTGATAAAGTCGCTCAGGTTACCCTAAGATACCTCTATTTTATGTTACTATAGGCTAGGGTTGCTGGAACATATAAATACCACTTTTTCTTTCTCTGCTACATTCTACTTCTGTTCTCCAATTTTTAAATGGGTTGTGAATTGTTGCTAAAAATTAACTGAATTGAAACAACGGAAAAGTAAAAATGGAAATGTATAAGAATCAAAAGTAAAAAACACTTCTCAATTAAGATGGCACAAAGGCTATCATATATTTGCCAAAAACAATCTCAATGTTCCTTAAGAATTTTGATAAAAATTTTGTTGATTGACCGCACAAAATAAACTTTGGGGAAGATCTTCAACCTGTAGATCTTAAATAACAAATCATTGCTGCAAAAACAGATCATTGTAGGAGTTTAACATGGTTGTAGTGTTTTGATCCACTGCCTGGGGCAGGGCTCTGGCCAACAGTTTGTAACCTTTAGCTTGAGTAAACTTGGAAGCAGAAATACAAACCAATGCACAAAAAGTCCATCTAAGAAAACTAAATTAAGATATTGCAGTTGCAAAGTCAACGTCCGACCTTAAATCCATGAGATGCGACAGCATGACCCTGAACAAAACGCCCAAGGAAAACCCTCAAAGGTGCCTGAATTAAAAAAAAGGAAAATAAATAAACATTTGAATCTGCAAAAGATCATTCTGATATAAGTTTCACAAATTACTCAACCAGACAGTAGAAGTCATTAGTCGGTCATTAGTTAAATAATTATTAAACTTTTTTTATTCACTTGGGGATATCTTTTACTAATATTCAAATTTTAGTTGAAAATCTTCACATGTATATATATATATATATATATATATATATATATATATATATATATATACATATACATATACATACATACATACATATATATAATAATAATAATAATATATATATAATCTGAGATTAAAATCAGAATTCTGAGAAAAAGTCAGAATTATAAGAAAAAAGTCTGAATTCTACGGAACAGGAAAAAAAAAAGTTAACTCATTTCTAAAAAAAAAAAACATTCTAGTTGATGAGTTATCAAAAAAGAAATATCCCCCTTTTCTTACATTTGCCCTTAATAAATTGAGGTCAGGAGTCTTAATTCAATAGATGCTGTTTATCACCTGACTCATTAGGCTGCGCATGACAGCTCTCTCATCTCTGCAAAGCTCTATTTGCTCCATCTGTCTCTGTTTGTACTGCAGTGGTCTTTCTGTTAATGTAAGGCAGCTGTTAAAAACTTCTTCTTGATCAACAGAAAAGAGCTAAATGAAGACATGATGAATGGGCTAAAGTAAAAACTCTATTTTACATTAGAATATCATTGTCATGATTTTCTAGTTTAAGTCATGTTCTTCATGCTATTCACATGAATAAATAATACATTTCATGTGGGGCTTAACATTTAAGCATATGGATAATGTCATAAAGGCAGCCTACTTGTTACAGGGATTAACAGCAACAACAGCAAGATCAAAGCAGAATCAATTAGCTCTAATTTTGAACATATTTCATGTTTAATGCAATCAGTCTTAAAAGCTCTTTATAGAAGACCTACTCTCTGAGGACATTATTATAAAGTCACCACATATTATTTTGGTTGACTTTAGTTCACCACCTTGTACAGTAAAGGAGATTAAGACCCACATTAATAAAATATCTGAAAAAATGTACATGGTTGTACTTTTTCAAAAACAAACTGTCCCAGGTAAAAACAGTCAATAAATAGGTTATAACAATGAGAAATAAAATAATTTTATATTGCTATTGATGGATTATTAATAAATATTCTATAAAATAGATAAATGTTGCAATGAAATAAAACTAAATTCATATTTACAAATAGATTTATTTATTGTATTTTTTGACACTTTCTATAGCTACACTACATATTTCAGTCACTTTCATTTTTTTACCTCCGTTTTTCATTTTCACCTTTTTAATTCATGTTCTTATATTCAAATAAGTAGGCAGGGTTTTATCTTTATGTCAGAGGTCAGTGATTCAGTGGAAAACAGGAGCTAGCTTGCAAAATAATGAACAGATGAAGAAGAAGGAGAGAAAGAAAATAATTGATGCCAAATTTCATTTGGATGCTCTTTGCAAAATGCTTCTAAATTGGTTCAACTGCTTTGCAAAGTGGGTGCACAGTGGTGCAGTTTGTAGTGCTGTTGCTGGTCCTGGGTTCGATTCCAGGCCTGGAGTCTTTCTGCATGGAGTTTGCATGTTCTCTATGTGCATGTGTGGGTTCTCTCCAGGTACTCCTGGCTTTCCTCGACTGTCCGAAAACATTACTATTAGGTTAACTGGCCTCTATAAATTGTCCTTAGGTGTGAGTGTGTATGTGCATGGTTGCACATCTTTGTGTGTCTATGTGTTGCTCTGTGACAGACTGGCAATCTTTCCAGAATGTACCTTGTCCATAGACTGCCAGAGGCACTGACCCCACTGCAACCCTGATGGAATAAGGGAATAGAAGATGGATGGATGATTTCAAAAGGATCTCAGACTTGAGAAAAGCAGACATCTGGTCCTGTACTAGGCATACCAAGCCGTCCTACAGATTAAACCCTGCCCCCTCATTTAAATGAAATAAAAAGAGCTGGGGAAAAAAACTTGGTTGAAGAAAAAAAAAATCGCTGAAGTATGTAAAGCAGCTTAACAAAATAAAAGTGTAATAAATGACTCCGTTATGAAATAAATCTGGGAGTACATAAATAAATCTTGAAATAAATTTATATATAGTAACATAAAAATGTATTTAAAAATTTTTAAATATAGTTTAAATACAGTAAATATAATATACATGTAATAGAATATTTATTAATAATCTATCAATAGCAGCACTCATTTATTTATCCATGTGATTAATTTTGAATAAAACGGCTTTCCATAAGGAGCCTCATATTTTGGATGCAGTGTTTCCAAATTTTTTCCTGAAGAAAATAATATTTATCACCTGTAAGGTCTGATCTCTTTTCAAATGATCAAAGGCAGTTCTCCAGCTGATTGTGATTGGTTCCACCGTTGCCTGGATACGATCAAACAAAACCAGCCGTATTTCTCCTTGAACATTAACATTGCAGGCTGTTTGTAGCTCAACTGCCGGAAATCCATTTATAATTTAACAAACTTCAACCGAGCAAAGCAAATAAAAATGGCTTCGGTGACTCAAAGCGACGAGAGCGGTGAGTGTTACAGACACTATTGTTTAAAAGTATTTCTTACTTGCAGTTCTGGTCCTCAACAAGGAAAACATGGGGGATCCTCTACTTTTAACTACATCATTGTTTTTATTCTTTAGGAAAATCTGTTAACATTCTTATGACTTTTGTTTAGGCTATTTAAAAAAAAAAAGCTTTATTTATAAATTTTCTGATTTGTTTACTAAATTAAGTGCATTTGTTCTCTACATTGCCATAAATAAAAAAAAATAAACTTATATTCATAGTTTTTTTTGTTTTCTTTCAAAATACTGGTTAAAACTGTGAATTGCATACTGTTTTTTTAACAGTGATGTAGGAGTTTGGCCTGCAAAGGCTCTCTGTCAGTGAGCCCCAGAGCAGCTGTGGCTACAATGTAGCTTGCCACCATCAGTGTGTGAGGGACTGAATGTAGTGTAAACTGCTTAGGTCAAGCCCTCTGACTTGAATAGGCGTTTTATAAATACAGGCAATTTACCATTTAATTAATTAGCAAGGAGAATCTAAGTGTATAATGTAATCCCATTGTAAATACAGCTAGTCTTTTTTTTTGTTGTTGTTGCTTTTTTTAAGTATACTGACAGCCTGATGCAGAACTTTGATCCCCACCTCCTCTAAACAGTATTTTTATTGGTCACACAACTCAAAGCTAAGTCAGGTTAACAGTTTGAATAGAATCTCAATATTCCAGCTTTGCCCCTTTAGGATGATGGAATTACTATTTTGCACCTACAGTCTCAAAGACTGAGTAATATTTAGATTATTCATCTTAAACATTTCTTGCAATAGTTGATTTATTTTTTTCTTACAAGTTTTATGATGTTACATATAAAATCACAAACTCTAATTCATATCACAGACTCTGCATCACAATGACAACATCAGACCAAAACACTGCTCTGAACTTCCATATTAATGCATTGTTTTTTGTTTTTTTTTTTTTGCAAAATGTTTTTTCTCCCACACAGCTTACATTTGATCACTGCTGCACTTTAAGAAAAGAAAATGTCATGAAAGCTGTGCAAAATGAAATTTATTTTTTTATACACTCTGAGTATACAAAATTACGATAAAAGTTGTCTAAGTCTACATATGCGTTATGCTGTTAGCATGTATGCATTAGGGGTGCACCAAGTGCAAGTTTTTGGTTGATCACAATTCCCGATTTCTGATTTTGATCATTACTGATATTACAGATTTGTTTTTTGTTTTTTTTTTATAGCCGAAACTGTCAGTCATCAATCACGGATTCAGCCAAAAAAGAAATCAATGATCCTTTAATACTGATGAGTGTCAGCATATTGAGCTGTAGAGACTGGCAAAAACAATCAACAAAAACAGAGGCTAGCCAAAAACAAGTGGACCAAAAAATATCTTAGATGCAAGGCAAGTTAGCAAGTGTCAACTGGCAAAGAAAGCTGCAGAGGGAGAGGTTTAAATAGGCAAGGCAAATGTGTCAAGGAGGCTGATTAAAGGGGAATCCCAGGAAGTGAAGTATTCTGAAACGAGAACAGAAATGAGTGAACCAAAATAAAACAGGAAGTTCCAAAAACAACTGAGCCAGACACAAAATGACAGAAGGAAAAGAAAGAAACTAATCGGCAGAGCTGTGTGTGACACTTATAGTAGATTATGGGTGACTTTAAGGGCCAAAAAAACAAACAAAAAGATCACATGACAAAATACATATCTGCAAAAACGTTCTCAGATAAGTAAAGGTGTCTTTTAACAAGTATAATTACCCTTCATTTAAGTTGGTAAATAAGATGATCTGCCAATGGAATTACTAGTTTCAATCATATAATAAGATAATTAGATATTTTGCACTTGATATAAGACAATGAAATTGTTTTTTTTTTCTTATTTTAAATGTAAATTATATTATTCCATAGGCAACATATCTCACTTACCTGCTTAATTCAAGAGAAAATGCACTTCTTTTAAGAAAAATGCACTTACATATATTGCATTTCTTGCAGTGTATCAAATAATAGAAACCCCAGTTATCCCACTGTTTACAATTTTAGAAAGTAAAACAAGAAAAAAATGTAAATCATTTATGCTCTATTTTCAATAGGAACTAAAGATGAAATAACCCAGCCTCCAGATCTTCCAAAAGTTGGCATCTTAGGGCAAACTGACTGGCTCAGGATTCAGGATGAAATCAATGGGATCGATAAAGACAAGGAGCGACTTAGAGAGGCAGCTAAACACAGAGAGGCTCTGCAGCTGCAGTCCAAGGAATTTGTGAAAATGTGGCCCGATACCATTGCTGTAAGTTTAACTCTTTACTCAAGCAGTATTTCTCGTACTCGTACTCGTCGTCTCCCGCTTTATCCAGAACCGGATCACGGGGGCAGCAGACTAAGCAGAGACTCCCAGACTTCCCTCTCCGCAGACACCTCCTCCAGCTCTGCTGGGGGAAGCCCTAGGCGCTCCCAGGCCAGCCGAAAGACATAGTCTTTCCAGCGTGTCCTGGGTCGTCCCCTGGGCCTCCTCCCAATGGGACGTGCCTGTAACACCTCCCGAGGGAGGCGTCCAGGGGGCATCCGAAGAAGATGTCCAAGCCACCTCAACTGACTCCTCTCGATGTGGAGGAGAACCGGCTCTACACTGAGCCTCTCCCGAATGACCGAGCTCCTCACCCTATCTCTAAGGGAGAGCCCAGCCACCCTGCGGAGGAAGCTCATTTCAGCCGCTTGTATCCGGGATCAAGTTCTTTCGGTCATGATCCAGATTTCATGACCATAGGTAAGAGTAGGTATTGATTAAATTGAGAGCTTTGCCATTTCGCTCAGCTCTCTCTTCACCACGACAGACCGGTGCAGCGTCCGCATTATTGCACCAGCCGCACCGATCCGTCTATCGATCTCCCGCTCCATTCTTCCCTCACTCGTGAACAGGACCCCAAGATACTTGAACTCCTCCACTTGAGGCAGGGACTCTCCTCCAACCTGAAGGGGACAAGCCACCTTTTTCCGGTCGAGAACCATGGCCTCGGACTTGGAGGAGCTGATTCTCATCCCGGCCGCTTCACACTCGGCTGCGAACCGCCCCAGCGCACGCTGTAGGTCTTGGCAGGAGGGAGCCAGCAGAACTACGTCATCCGCAAAAAGCAGAGACGAGATCCGCTGGTCCCCGAACCAGACCCCCTCCGGTCCTTGGCTGCGCCTAGAAATCCTGTCCATAAAAGTTATGAAAAGGACCGGTGACAGAGGGCAGCCCTGTCGGAGTCCAACATGCACCGGGAACAGGTCCGACTTAATGCCAGCAATGCGAACCAGGCTCCTGCTCCGCTTGTACAGAGAACGGATGGCCCCTAATAAAGGGCCCCCGACTCCATACTCCTGGAGCACCCCCCACAGGGCAGCACGAGGGACACGGTCGAATGCCTTCTCCAAGTCCACAAAACACATGTGGACTGGTTGGGCAATAGAACCCTAAGAACCCTCAAGCACCCTGCAGAGGGTGTAGAGCTGGTCCACTGTTCCACGGCCAGGACGAAAACCACACTGCTCCTCCTGCAGCCGAGGTTCGACAATCAGCCGGACTCTCCTCTCCAGCACCCTGGCATAGGCCTTTCCGGGGAGGCTGAGAAGTGTGATTCCCCGATAGTTGGAACACACCCTCCGGTCCCCCTTCTTATGGAGGGGAACCACCACCCCAGTCTGCCAATCCAGGGGGACTGTTCCCGACCTCCACGCGATGCTGAATAGACGTGTCAACCATGACAGCCCAACAACATCCAGAGCTTTAAGATACTCAGCACGGATCTCGTCTACCCCCGAAGCTTTGCCACCGTGGAGTTTTTTGACCACCTCGGTGACTTCAGCCTGGGTGATGAACGAATCCAGCCCCAAGCACCCTGTCTCTTCTTCCCCCATGGAAGGCGTGTCTGTCGGGTTGAGGAGATCCTCAAAGTATTCCTTCCACCGCCCGACAATATCCTCCTTCAAGGTCAGCAGCTCCCCACTCCCACTGAAAACAGTGCTAGCGAAGCACTGCTTTCCCCTCCGGAGGCGCCGGACGGTTTGCCAGAATCGCTTTGAGCAGTATTTCTAATGGAAAAAAACATAATTAAATGTATGTCTACATTTTTTTTTCAGAGTCAAAGACAAAACATGTTGGTGGCAAAGAAAGTCCGAGAGCTAATGGAGGAAGAAAAAATGAAACTGATTGAAGCAGAAGAAGCCCAATATAAGAAAGAGAAGCAAAAAGAGGCATTAAAAAAAGCCAAAACTCAGCTGTATTACCAAAATGACCGAGTGAAAGCATTACATGTCTGTATTAGCATTACAACTGGGCACTGTTTAGATATACCATACAATCAGATCTGTTATAATTCATTGCTATTACTTCCTCAGCGCGCGCTTCTGCACACCGAGGTGCTTAAAGAAAGGGAGGCTCAAACAGAGCTGAAAAAAAGGAGGAAAATGGCCGATAGAGACATGGAGAAGAAGTTCCTGGAAATAACAAGTAGAGAGACTGAAACCTCGAGGAAGGAGCAGGAAAGGCAGTTACAAAAGATTAAGAGACAGGCAGTCGCAGAAGACCAGAAAAACCAGTAAGACCTACTCCATCCCTGCAGCTGTACCATTTCATGCATGTTTAATGCAAACTAACACTTACTCTCTACAGTTATTCTCTCCTGCAAAAGTATTCCCATGCTTTGGAGTTTTTTTACATGTTGTCAGATTAGTTTGCAAAGGGAAATATGTTAATAGTGTCCCTACCTACATCTCCACCTACATTTTATTGTGATATCCCTAAATTAAATAGAGTGCAAAAATAAAATAAGGTGGTCTATTTAAAATCAAATAAAAAATATATTTGTTGCTCTTTCTTTTTAGGATAAAAGCAAACGAGGTAGCCCGAGAGCTACAGAAACTGGAAATCGTGGAGGAAGCAAAGGAAATTCAGCTCCTTCAAGAGCGTTATCAGCAGGAACAAAAGATGGAGTCCGAGCGACGAGCAAACCAGAGGAGGGACCTCTTCCACGCTCACCTGGTCAATCATATGCAGAGATTGATCATTTGATGCTGCCAGATTTGCCCTAAATTTCCTGCTAATTCGTGCATGTTGTGTTCCCTCAGGATCAACTAAACAAAAAGGCCCTGAAAAAAGAGCAAGAGGAAAAAATTCAGAAAGCTGAAGAGGAACGGAGGAGGATGTTTAACTCAGTCAAAGAACAAAGGACAAAGCTACAGCAACAAAGGGAGAAAGAGTTATTTAGGTAAGCTCCCATGAAACAATAAATAGAACTGAATCCTCATCAATGAATGAATTATTGATTTCAGTTTAGGTATTCAAATGAAATAGTATCAGTTTTTAATATTAAAAAAAGACCAATAAGAAGTCATTTTTACTACATAAACCTTGCACAGTGGCCATTAGATGGCCTACACAATTTTAAAGACTGCAAATATTATAACAGTATGAAGATAGTTATGGATTTATGGCACAAGAAGGGTTACCACAGGTGGCTGTTGGTAAGCATATGGATAGAAAGTTGAGGAAAAGGATGTTAGGAAAATACTCAAGCAGTATATTTTTATTTTTAATGCAATGTTGCTCATCTGAGCCTTTTGTTTTTTCTTTCACCAGGGAAGCTCAGAAGCAGAGAGAGAGGATTTTGAACAATCTGACAACCATGCAGCAAGAGCAGACCGCCATCGAGGAGCAGAGGTTAGCTGAAGCTGTGGCTGTGATGAGCATGAAACAGAGACAACAGCAACAGGAGAAAGAGAGGAAGAAATCAGAGATGTTGAAGACAGTAGCCGAACAAATGGAGATTGTGGTAACGAGTGTGTTTGCAGGATAGTTTTTATAAAATGTGATGGTTGCATAAACTAAATACAAGCTGTTTCACCAGAGAAAGAAAAAGGAGCTCTTGGAAAAAAGCGCAGAGCAAGAAAGGCGAGACGCTCTGCAAGCAAAGAAGGAAGCTGACCTAATATACACCAAAACACTACAACTAAAGGCTGAGAAGATGAGAGAAGAACAAAGAAAACTGAAGGAATTCTATGTTGCACAAATGGTACCAGCCTCAAAGCTCCACCTTATTCTTATTTACCTTGTTATTTACAATATCTGATACACAGTAATGATGTGAAACTTGTTCGCTCCTGAATGCAGGCAGAAAAAAGCACCAGACTTCAGCAAATGAAAGACGAGGAGCTTAACATTGAAACAAAAAATGCAAAACAAAGAGCTGAAGAGGAAGCCGAGTTTGAGAAGTACACAGAACAGGTCATCCAGACCGCAGCAGATGCTAAAAGAAATCTGATTCCACTTTACAGAGCTGTGAGAAAAGGAGGAAGTCCAAGCTACATCGTCCAGGACAGCAGTGGGGCGCAGATGCCCAGATATACCTCTGCAACCACACAGAGCATCAGAAGGCTTCACGAGGCTGGAAACATTCATGAGTCCAAGAAGAGACTTGGTTTCACATGGTGTTAGTTTAATACCTGCTGTAGTTTACTCTCGTGAACGTGTTCCTATTTTGTCATGTCACACCCATGAATTAAATGACTGTCATCGGGGATAGCTTAAGAAAAATATTCTCCCCCATGGCTCCACTCTGTGTTTGTTTTTTTAAAATCTTAAACTATCTCATATCTGTGCAAAATAGTTAAAGTTTTTGAAGTGAAATGAGGAAAAACAGAAATATTAAAAAGGAATATGCATGTTGTATCAATCTGCTTTTACTATGAAAGTCCTGGTGCAGCCAGTTACCTTTAAGTCATAACATATATATCTCAGTATAAACACACTTTTCTGAAAGGCCCCAGAGGCTGCAGCACCACTAGCAGGCATCTCATGAATATAAATAAGCTGTTCATTGAAGTCAGGGAGAGAGTTATTGAGAAGTACAAGTCAGGATTGAATTATAAAAAATAAAAAAAAGAATCCAAAGCTGCATGGAGGATTGAAGCTCCACTCCAGTACTGGAACATCTGTCCTGTTGGAACACAAGGAGCTGTATACACCATAGAGCTGTGCTTTATGTAAGGGTCGCTAGAAGAAATAAATAAAACAAACAACAAACCCTTGAAGGTGTGCTTTATGTTTGCTAGAAGGATATTAAATGCTCTGGTCAGATGAAACTAAAACGAAACTCTTCAGCCAGCAAGAAACTGCTATAGCTGATGCAAAGCCAACATATACCATCACCAAAATAATGCCATATATGGTGAAACATTGTGGTGAGAGTGTCATGCTGTGGTGATACTTTTTAGAAACTGATTAAAGAAATAATAGATTATGCTTAATACAACCATATTCTTAAGCAAAACCAGTATCAGACTCCCTGGAGGTTCACCATCCTGCACCACAGGGACAAGAAGCGCCACTAGTGGCTTAAGGGTAAATATTGAAATTTGTTGGAATCAAAGTACAAAACTCAGTCCAGTCAAGAATCTGGGGTGAGACCTGGTAGGAGTATCGAAATGCCGTTAGCTGCCTTAATGGCAATAAAAAATATCTATACAAAATGACTGGCTTTGTGGTGTGGATGGTCAGGTTTGATAAACATCAATGCAGGATTAAGTTTGCTGTTATTTACTCAGACAGAAAAAAACATATCTTTAAAAGTGAAGGAATGTTCTGTGAATAGAATAGTGTGAAGACATATAATACAATCTAAGGTTCTAAGGCTACAAAAAAAAAAAAATACTGGAGAGGAAAGTAAAGTTTTTACATTTTTCTTTTACAGTACAATCAGCAGTTTATAACAGCATAATTATTCACCCCTGTTAAAAAAAGTCTGTCTTTTACATCTAGAGACAAACAGCATTTTTCTCTTAGACTTGGATTTAGGTCCTGACCTTCACTGAGAACTTGTACAGCAATGAATATACTTTGAATTAAACCATAAATGTTTTCTATCTATTCATCTTTAAAACACCATACAGAAAGCCAGTTAAATGTACTATTTTCCTGAAATGAGATCAAATATTAAATATTTCAAGAAATATTTTTACTTATACAAGACAAAACTGTACAAAACAATATACATTTCTAGGGTTTGTATTCCTTCTAAAGTTTTATTTGAACAGATCTTACAAATTAGTTGACACTTTGCAGCTAAAGCTACATATAAAGCGCAACAGAGCCGAGGAGGAAGAATATAACTGATTGCTGGTAATCATTCACCTGATATTTTAATTTAGCTTACGGTAAACTGGTTAAATAAAATGGTATCTGCAGAACAAACAGGCTGGATGTGTTTCGTAAAGCGGTTTTTATTTTTCCATGTGATGACAGAAAATATGATTTGCAAGAAACAATATATGAAGGACCAAGAGTTTGTCTGGTTATCAATTATCTACCAGATCAAAGAGCCCATTGCTGGTATTCCTGAATCTTCTTCGTAATGTAGCTTTTTTTTATTTAGTTTTTTTATCAAAGTTCTGGACTCATTTTAGATTAATCAAAAAACTGAAAGGGGGATTTTTTCCCACTAAAGTCTAATAACAATTTCCTGGATTTAAGCATGTAGAAGAAATTTGTAATTCCAAATTTTGTCCTCTGAACTCATTTTATCCAACAGTTTATCAATCCATGTTCGTTTTTTCCAGAGCATGTGAAAGCCAACATCTGAAGAATATCTGCGGTAATTTGTGACTTTCACACGTTGTTTAAATATTGTCAACGTTTATTGCAGTTGTAAATAATACTGAGAAAAACCCATAGGAACCAAGCAATGCTAAAAAGTGTTCAGTAGGTTAACATCCATGGTTTATGTCCAACGTCTATGGTTAATGTCCATAGAAAAGTGCAGAATATTTAGCATAAATCACTTTTATTCCCACTATAAGTAACCACCCAGACACCGGGCTGAGATCTTCCAGTTTAACTTATTTATTGTCATTATGTTTTGATTTTGGCCTCAACATTTACAACAATAAAAAAAAAACCCAGAACAAAGAAATAGCGTTACACTTTAATCAACACTCCCATGTTTTGCTGCAAAGAAAATTGAGTTTATAGAAAATGCTTGTGACCAGCAGTATTTTTACCTATAAACAGAGTTGACAGAATAATAGTTTCAAGTTTGGTCAAGTAGAAAAAAAAATATTCAAAATAAAAGTTTCATTTTCCAAATAAATCAAATAGGAATAAGCATGCGAGACTAAATTAATCTTCAGACTTTTGGTAAAAAAATGGACACAAGTTACATTTTTTTTTCTTTATTTGAACTAAAACTGAGAACAGGGATTTTGAAAAAAACATTAAGATCATATTGTTTAAATCAGTCCAATCTCTTAAAAAAAAAACAAAAAAAAAACATCTGAGCAGTTCTGCAGATTTCTTTCCTCCTAGATCAGAAGTCTTTCAGGTCCAGCTTGCATTTTCAGGAGGCAACAGATATTGAGTTACAAGGCCTGAAGATTTATAAGTGTTGGATTCTCCCTCCAGTCAGTTATTTATATATATATTTTTTTATGTTCTTCTGCTTCACTTTCTATCAACCAGGCTTTGTAACCAGTTTGGAAAGGTCTATGCTTATATGAGATTTGGAAGAAGCTGGGATGAATGAAGCTGATCTGCAGATTTGGATTACCGTAAAAGAAATCAGTCGCTGCCAGAGGTGGAGCTAGAGCTCGAATGATTTTTCTTGCGATCTTTTCTATCTTTTGTACTATCTGGTCTGGCTGGGCTTCTCCTGTCTCTGGATCTATTCCTCCTTGAGGAATCGGGACTTTTTCTGCTCTTCTTTTTATCTGCTCTGTCACTGTCGGAGCTGCTGCTGCTTCGTCTTCTCCTCCTGCTGGTGGAATCTCTGCTTCGGTCCTTTCTCTGAGAAGACCGATCTTTGCTGCGATCTCTCCGACGGCTTCTGCTTCTAGAGCGTCTGCCTCTATGAGAGTCTCTGGCCTTACTCCTGTCTGGACTTCTTGACCGCTTATCTTTTTCCCTGGATGTTCCTCTTGTCCGTTTCTCCCTTTCCTTACTTCGGCTTCTTTTTCTGGCCCTGTCCTTGTCTGATTTTTCCTCTTTTTCTTTGGATGCTGCTCTCCAGCCTTTGTCCCTGTTTCTGCTGCTTGATCTTCGCTCATCTTTTCTAGATGATCTTTCCTTGCTTAAGGATTTTGTCCTTGTTCTCTCTTCTTCCTTCCCTTTCCCCTCCTTGTTGTTTGTATCAGATTCTCTATCTTTACTTCTATCTTTACTCTGTTCCACTCCTGCCTCCGTTTCTTTGTTTCCTTCTTTGCTTCTTGAACGCCCTCTCCTGTGGCTACTTTTATGCTTGTCGGCCTTGTCTCTGCTTTGGGACCTTTTCTTTTCTCTGCTCCCACTGCGGCTGCGAGACTTTGTTTTTTTCTTTGATTTGTGCTTGCTGTGCTGCTCATCCTTTTCTGCAGTACCGCCCTCTTTGCTTTTAGACCTGTGTGATCGACTCTTCTTTTCCTTCTTTCCCTCAGCCGTGTCTTCGTCTTTTGCCTTGGACGTTCTTCTCTCTCGTTTTGGAGCGTTAGTTTCTTCATCCACAGCATTGTTAAAGTCACCTCTGCAAAAAATGTGTTAAATAAAGACCAGGTGAGGACAAATACAGGTAACAGTTGTGTATACTAAAAGTAGAAATAATAAAAGTAGTAAAATACATTATTTAGTTTATTGCTCAATAGTCTAAAAAAATAAATGATCCTAGCACTAGAATAATTTCCGTAAACCATTTAACTTTGGGAGGGAAAATACAATATCTAATAAATCCAAAATATTTTAGTAAAAAGAAAAAAAAAATATTATTTTCCTGATTATATAAAGTGTGCAAGATTTACCCCCATCTAGTGGTAAACTAAATTATTCACAAACACTAGACTGGTGCCTCTCCAAGTGTGTGAGACCTACTATGGAAGCCCCCGAAAGACATTCTATTTCTAAATGTCACTTAAATGTGTGTGAAGTGTTTCTGGTATTTCTTACTATTTTCCACTTGTTATGTGGTGCACAATTTCCTTTGTTTTTATAGAATCCTGTTCCAGAAGCAGCATGAAGTATAAACGCCTACATTGCTTGTAGAGAGGCTGTTTGGAGATTTAGACAATACCCAAGAGCAACTACAACTCATCCTAATGCTGTGTTTGCACCAGATGCAGCAGGCGCAGCAGAAGCAGTGAGTTTACATGCAAAGTCAATGGTTGACGCATGTCAAGGCGCAGCAAAAGGTCCCGCAGTGCGTTTTGAGCAGCAGGCGCGTCTGAGCAGCTGAAGCAGCGCGTCGGGAGCATTTAAGCATCTGACACGCGCTACGCGCGGCAAACGCACTGCTGCTCGAGATGGAAAAATTTTACTTTTGCTGCTTGACGCGCCGCATCAACCAATCAGAGAAGCTGATCTGGGAGATGCCAGGGAGACGAACACGTCGCTGATGATACAGAGCGCTGTGATCACTCATCTGTAATAGTTTATTAATGCCTAAATTAACTTAAAATGCTGAAACCTGCCGACAGAATATGTTCGCTTTTATTATCCTGGTGCCTGCAGTTTGGATAATGTACATGAAAACCGCCTTCCAGCCGCCGCAGCGAACCGCGAGGAGGCGACTGGGCCATAGGCTGCTGTTGAATGGGATTCCTACTGACAGCGAACCGCTGGCATATGGGGGTCTGAGCGGCTCCGACAGAAATAATATTGGAAGGCAGGATGGTAATCTGGATGAACTGACTGAACTGATTAAATTTTCAGGGGGATTTTCTCACTTAAAAACATATTAAAACTACTTTATTCCCACTGATCACAGCAAATATAGCTGCCAGGCAAAGAAAGGATAGGGTAGCTCTGCCCAACGCGCGTCAGACACACTTTTGCACAGCGCAGCCAGAGCAGCAAAGCTGCTTCAGCCGCGCGTCAGAACTAAACTGGTACAAGCAGCAAAAAGGAAGCAGCAGACGCGATTTTGCTGCTCCTGCTGCGTTCGATGTGAATATAGCATCAGAGTTTTTCTTATTGGTAACCACGCATACAATCATTATGCCTAAAACCTGGAACATTTTCCCTAAGAAATAAAAAGGGGTAGTAACGGGGGGTAACGATACGTATCTCTGGTGCTTTATGTTCAAAGTCAAAAATATATGAAGATTCTCAGTCATCCAGGTCATGGTCAAGCTTGAAAACTACAGTTTAGGCAACAGGACATAAAGTTTTCTAGAAGACTGTTTGCCTGTCATCCAAGACGCTTCCCCATTAACACCCCCCAGATGACCTCCATGGCCAATCCAGTAGGAGGGATCATGGCCACCTTTTGTTTTACCCCAATTCTTTGTTTCACCTGCAGTATATTAATCTCAAAGCTCCCCACCAACAGTTAGAAATGAGGAAGCCTCTTGTCTGAGAGGTGAAAACGTCTTCTAGAAAATGTCATGTCCAGTTGCCTAAACTAAACATTTCATGCCATTTCCGTCAAAGTTATGGTTACATTGCAAAAGTCGCCCACTGTTTCTGAGCTGTCCTTACTTGTCTCCCTTAATCCATCGCTCTCTGGTGACCGCCCTCATCCTCTGACGCTGCATCTCTTGTCGCCAGTGTGGAGGAGTTTCGCTTCGGCGAAATCGATCTCTAGACCTTGAGCGAGAACGTGATGGAGTTCGGTACCTCTGTTGAAAGACATAAAAGTCAGTGTAAAAAAAACAAAACAAAAAAAAAACAAGCAAATTGAATTCAATTGAAATACTAATTGTACAAAGGCGCAAATAAATGTCAATCATGTATTTAAAATGTGAGTGATGATTAGACAGAGAAAATAAATTATTCAGACTGATTCAGCTGACTCACCCTTGGTCCTCTCCCTTTTATCTTCCTGCCTGATCGGGTGGTAACCATAAACCGCCTCTGATAATCGGACTGAGAATTATACATTGAGCCAGTGCTGTAATATAAAGAGAAACAGGACATTTAAACACTGCGTCATTTCTTCAGGTTTCCATTCCTTGTGACGATTAAAAAAACACCAACTTCTGTCTCGATCTGTCGTCCCTGTTTCTCTGGTCTTTTTCATCGTCCTTGTTGGACTTCTCGGATGGTGGAGGACTTCTCCTCATGAGGAAGCGGTTCTCTGGGATGGGAGGGATTTCTTCAGGACGTACAGTGGAAGTAATTTCATCTTCTTGTTCTTTCTCCTCAGCACTTTCCAATCCAGACCTATAAAAGCATTTTTTTTAATCTATTTTTTCTTTTTTATAAAACAAAGTCAAAGGTTGTGTAAATGAGTTTTGTACTTTTTCTTCTCCTTCTTTTGCTTCTTTTTTAGTTTTTTCTCCTTCTTCCGTTTCTTAGATTCTTTTTCAGATTCCTCTGAGCTGGAAGAAGAATCTGAGGAGCTTTCCGAATCAGATGAGCTGCCGCTGGAATTGGACGAGGCCTTCTCTTTCTTTTTGTTGGCTTTCTTTCCTACAAAGCATTAGCAAAAAAAAAATATATATATCAACAGCAGTTTGAAGAAATTTTAAGTTTTTAAAGCCTGAGGTCCCCCCCTTACCCTCCAACCTTTTGATTTCGGAATGAGCTCTCCACAGTTTAAAATCTTCACTTCAGCATACGGCCGGCTGTTAGGATCTATTTTCTGGTTCTCCATCGTTTGAACAACTTCTTGTCCAGAAATTACATGACCGAAAACCACATGAACACTAAAAACCAGATTTAACTGAAATTAGCATTATGTGGAGAATGCAATTTGTGTTGAAAAATAAAATGAGTCTTACCCATCCAAATGAGGGGCAGGTTTTGTTGTTCTAGAATTACAAAGATAGAAAATGGCAATAAAGTGTATTTTTTTCTCTCCAAAACTTTTAAAAGATAAATCGGACATAACAAAGAAACATGGCACTTACATGAAGAACTGTGATCCATTTGTATCTTTGCCCCTGTTAGCCATAGACAGCAAATACTCCTTGTTGTGTTTAACAGCAAAGCTTTCATCTGGAAGGAAAAGGAAATGATTGTACTGAAAGCTTGAAGCAAACACTCATTTAAAAAAAATATCTGACACCTTACCTTCAAAAAAGCCCCCGTAGATCGATTCACCTCCTCTTCCATTTCCTGTGGGCAAATACGGCAATGCCGACAGAAATAAACCAAGAGTCCAATCAGACTACAGTAGATTATAATTAATAATAATTAAAAAAAAAATCTTAAATCAGCTCTCAGGTAAAAGTGAATTGTGACGAGACATTATGGGAAGAGCTTCCTATTTAAACTCAATTCCCTAATTACACACAATTTTTTTTATTTATTTTTTTTAGATAGTCCATGTGTACATTATATATGACAAAGCTCAGGGGGTTACCCATCCAATACCTAAAATAAAATGCCTGTCATTACAGCGAAACTTCAACATTATTTGTCTGTAATATATGAAATAAAATCATAAACTCTGGGCCTCAAGCAAGAACAGTTCAGCATTTTTCTCCTATTACTGATCTCTCAGGTACGACCAAGTTCTCCAGACTTGACATAAGAGTTTTGCGCAGTCAGCTGTTATCAAAACTAGTATTTCACTAAATATTACACTTGTTGTTACTTAGAAACAGTTGTCCATTTTATTAGGCTACGTCAATATGTATTATGCAACCCTGCAATTATAAAATAATTTTTTAATTGTCAATGACAGAGTTATCAGTCACTACACCTGCTGCTGGCATGTTTGTGTCCAGGGGAGTCTAGTTTGACTTGTTGTTGAAGAATGGGCATGGAGAGGCTACGGCTAACTGAGGCTAGCCCCTAGACATTTCATCCCATTTTTTAAAAGACATTTCATCCCAGCGCGGAATGTAATGAGCTCGTAACATTATCAATGACCCCTCAACCCCCCATAATGGGCTGTTCCTTCCTGCTGCCCTCTGGGAGGAGGTTTTGCAGCATTCGATGCAGGTCCAGAAGATTCCAAAACAGCTTCTTCCCCACTGCCATCAGACAGATGAATGTTGAAAAAACTCTAAATCATGCCACAGACTCTGCATCAAACTGACCATATCAATGAGTTTTTTTGCCCCATGTTTTTCTGCCACGTTTAGCTTTGATAACTGCTGAACTTTAAGAAAATTGAAATGTCATGAGAGCTGTTCAAAACAAAATTTTTTTTTTAGGGAAACATAATTTAGTTTTTAAGCTGTATATATATTCTGCACAGAGTGCTCCATTCACAGCTGTTCATATCTCACCTTCACTGAAGTCACCACCTTGAATCATGAAGTCTTTTACAACTCGATGGAACAAGCATCCTTTGTAGTGCAGGGGTTTCTGGGTCCCTTTTCCTATGCCTTTCTCACCTAAGTGAATTAATCATAAAAACAAATCTGCACTGTGAAGATGGTCAATTTGTCGAAAAGAAGAAAAAAATAACCTATTTAAATGTGGAAAAATCCTTCACCTGTGCAAAGGCATCTGAAGTTTTCACAGGTTTTGGGGCAGATGTCTGAAAATAACTCCACCACGATTCTACCAACTGTAAGAATACAATCAGTTAGTGGCTGCAACAAGAGTGGTCATATTATTAGTGCCATTTGTAGAGTCAAGAATAGTTACAACAGGTTCAAATACTGAGGAAAAAATGTTTTTCACCCAATACAATACTACCCACTTGTTTTGGTTTAAGGCACATCAACAAACATGATTTTGTTTAAAACACTTTGAGTTTAACAAACATTAAGATTGAAAATTTATACTAAGTTGTACAGCAGCAAAAGATTATAGGGAAAAAAAGTGGTCCTCATTTGTGTGACCATTTTTTTTATACAATCTTTTGCTGCTTTAACACCAGAATGTCCCCCTTGTGGGACAATGAATATATTTTCTATTCCATTCTAAAATGACAATATTATTATTTCTTTATAGGATATTGATTTAAAGATTGAGAACGTTTCTCTTACCTAGAACATTACTGATCCCGATGTCCAGAAAGCACCGAGGCCGAACCTTGATCCCCATATTTCCTCCCAACACCTGCAGCAGTGTCAACAAACGACATTACAGGGGTGATCCTAAACGGAATTTCAATGCATACTTTCCGCTGGCATCCTATATTATTTATATTAAACACGAGAAGGGCGGTTAATGCTTTGCAATGTGCATAACAAAAACTAAGAAGAGTATGATGTCAATGTATCAACAGAAGGATGGAGAAATAATTGCTAGATTATACTGAATCTTTCTCGTTTTCGACACTTAACGGCTGGCGGGTTAGCTTTAGCCACCACGCGCCTTAGTTATTTAGGAATGCTAGCCCATCCCCACTGATAGATGTAGTGAACTTTAGCACTCGTTTCTGTTTTAATCACCGATATGAAACATTTTGCACATGAAAATGCACTACTGATGCACTGTCTACCATGTAGGCCCCGCTCCTAGCTTTAGCCCAAATTATCTCGCTGCTGCCATGCGCGCACGAAGGTTTTTACAACCACATGAAAGCTTCTCATGTTCGATACTTTCGTTAAACATGTACGGAGATATGGTTAACGTTAGAATACAGAACCTGGAAAAACAAGGAGTTCAGGCATACAGTGAGAAGTTCTCCAAAGCGACGAAAACCGTATATTCATTCAGTAATGTTTTCTAAAGATGGCGCGGAAGGAACGTCAACTGGTTTCTGGTGAGAGTGGGAGCCAGGGAAGCCTGTGAGGAAAGATGTGCCCTTTACTTTGTCTGACAGGTAAGAGAGTTAGTAAAAAGCCCTCCACAAAAAAGCATTAAGATATTCTATAGACGAGTTATGTTTTTTTTCTGATATGAAGTTTTTAGAACAACGTAATTTTGGACATGAACCATTAATACGTAACCTGAGATTAGAACAAAAACGTATGTGCCTGAAAGCATTAACACGGGATAATTTAAATCTAGAATATGACCTACGTGATCCGGAAGTCAAAGCTCTTTGCACACACGCTAGGTAATTTTGACTTTGAGCTATTTTCATAACTGTGTCACAAAATAAATACTCTTTAATCTAGCAGTGTTGAAAACTGAAAGATAATTACATTTATTCGGGTATGGTATTTATATAGGGAGATGCCCATGAATCCACGTGCGAACCCAATCTATAATCAAACTTATTTAAAGTCAAGATGGGACTGTTAATTCAGCTCAGCATGGTCAACATGTCCCTATGAACGATGTAAGTATTTGCATGTAGCAAACTGTTATTAATTGTAAGCAAACTAAATTCGTTTTTAGCAATTATACAGATGTTATCACCGCCTCTTTATACAGACTCTGGCAGAATGTGTAAGAAATTGGTCTGTATCTGTATTAAAAAGCTATGCATTATCACTGACATCTTATACTGTCCATGAACGCAACAAAAATCCATTATGTATGTAGTTTGTTAGTTTATGTCCAGTATGTTAGTTTTAGATTAATTTAAATTTGCTATGTACCCCAAATCACTAGGTTATACTTTGATTGATTGCAAACTGGTTTGTGGCAGCACATTACATTAAAATCTTGTCCACATGTCAGCATATTACAGTTATTAAAGTTCAAAAATCTTATTAATTGATTCCTTAAATTAATAACATATCTAATTTTTTCCCCCCACTTGAATCAGTTGATCATGAATTATAACTAGGGCTGAAACAATCAGATTAATCGTGATTAATAAATTTTTGAAAAAATCTTTAACTAATTTAGTGATCAATTAATCATTGGAGTATAGAGACTGTAAAACATGCCTTCAGCTGAAAGAGCCACCCACCTTGAGAGGTAATTATACCAAGATTATAAAAGAATGTATAATCATTTCGCATTTAAGGTAAAAAAAAAAAAAAGTCAATGTACTATATCCAGAACTCCTCAAGAGAGAAAGTTTTAGTTTAACCTGTTTTAATTCTGTAAAGTTGTCTTTAAGGGCTTATACCGGTAACTACTTTTAACTTTAAACCATGAATCCAGACCACCAAACAGTCTGGAAAAGACAGCTCTGATGTTGTTTCTGGTTTAGGAGTTATGTAACACCAGAAACGTAATGGTAGGAGCAAATGTCCTGGATGTGTGTGTGTTAGGGTGCATTAAACATTAAATCAAGCCACACTCAGTGCCTTGCGAAACTACTATGGAATCATGTTGATTTTACAGATTTTCCACCACAGTTTTTCCTTCCACTCAACTTTCTGTTAATACTAAACTTTGTGTAGAGTCACCCACTTCCAAAGTGGCTTTTCTGTATGATAACTGTTTTTCATCCTCATGCCAACAGTGTTCTGGCTCAAACTTTGAAGATTTGTCTGCTTATTTCAGTCAATAAAAATAATAACAACTAAGATATTCAAAAAATATGGGATACATCTTTAGGCCTGCAGGCACACATAAGGTTATTGTGCTACTTGTGGCATGCAGCCTATTGTTATAAAAATACACAACCATGATAATATGTAGAATGTGATGAATATATAGACTAAAAATGAACCTTGTTTTTCTGACACTTTTATTAGTAGCCATTAAACACTGTTTCCATCACCTCTATGAATTCAGGAATCTTAGCAGGTGAAGGTTCAGCAGGCTTTATAACAAATGCAACAATGAAAGAATCTATTCGACTTCTCGATGTATTATTAGAGTGTGATAGCTTTACAGTTAAAACCAAACATTGCAGCAAAGTAGACATTTTCGATTGAATAAGGGGTTTTCCGATACAATACTGATATTACAGCTTTAATAGTTTGCCAATACCGATCTGATACTTTATTAGCACAAATCATACCAGCTTTTATGACTTATTTTATACTGTAGAATGTCGGGAAAGGCTCTATCAAGTAATATTACTAAAACAGGGAGCAAAATTCAACAAAAGCAAAAAGGTATGAAAAAAACTGATCCATGTTAAAATGAACCAATGAGTTATGGGAACTTTTAACAGTAGCAGAGTGTTTCTATCAGCGTGAAAATAAAATATTATTTTCATGCTGTAACAGACCTTAGATGCTAAGATGCTGATAAATTCTGATATTAAAGTTTTGGTTAATATCAAACCATTAACTAATGTCATTATCGGATCCGGACACATCTAATTGATATTTCTTACAATAACATAATAAATAGGTTGTGTTTGTGTATATTGCACAGCTCTAGTATGCATTTATAAAAATACTTAATGGTATGACTCAGTAATGACATAACACGTGTAAAACTATGTAGTTGAGAAGAGTTTGTATTTACATTTATTTTGAAAATGTCAAAAAATAGCTGTATGTATTTAATGTGTTCAAATATATCATTATTTCATTAAGTAGGTGTAGAGCCCTGAAAGTACAAAAGGGATAAAGTAAAAATGAATAGGTATAATTATCTTATTTGGCAAGCGTTTATTTGATTTATTTTTGAGTTAGTACAATTCATTTGGTTCAAATATGCATGGAATTCAAATATGTGCTCAAACTACTTTTTTAAATTTTTTGTATTTCATACATTTCTGTCATGATAATGCCCCTTTAAGAAGGCACAAGGCATGATGGGAGAAGAAAGCTCATGGCCTGTGTATATTTACAAAAAGAGCAAACTGTATATATGCTGTATGCTCGAACCATGGGTTTAGTTTGATAAAGTTGCACAAAAGCGAAAATCTAGTTTTTTTGTTTTTTTTTTTTAGTTCTTTTTAAGGGTGCAACATAGGCTTAGAAAGATTGGTTTTAATTTAAGATCATAATGTTATGTTTTTCTTTCTTCTTTGTGCATCGCCATGTAACTAGTTTGCAGTTCTGTGATGGGCTGACCCTGCCGATCAGTTGACAGAGAGCTGTACGCATGTGCAATGAAGAGTTCAGCACACGCCTAACTCACACCCATGTGGGGAACAATGTTCAGACTGAACTGTTTGAGGCCAAGCCTCAGAAGACTCCTTCATGGAGCTGTGGGGAGTAGAGACCAGGTGCTGGAGGGGCTTCAGGTGTGCTCTGCAGAGGACCAGGTGCTCGATATGGTAGGGAAGAACAAAGCCAAACTGACGGTGGAACATGTCAGCTTGGCTGTGAGGATGCTGTGGGAGTTTCAGAAGGAGAGACCTGAACTGCTCAGGACTGTACACCTCATCAAGAACCACCAGCAGTTCTTGACCCTCCGGGTTTTGGCAGAGAATAAAATTGCTCAGATGGATGACTTCACGCTGATCGACATGCTTTATGCTTTCCTCAGGTATACTAACAATCTATCAAATGGTGGTTTATTGAAATTCCAGCATTAAATCATGTATTACCCTCTCTTATGTAGGCTGAATGTGGAGCCACATGACTCTCTTGTGCAACAGATGGTTTCAGAAGCTTGGCTGAGACTAGACAGGTATTTTTTATTTATATTTGTTTTTATTATTTAGTCATTAGTAATTTTAAGATGAAATTAGATGCATTAACTTCATCAGTTCAGTTATTATAGGCAAAACAAGCATTTAAATCAAATAATAATTAATAATTTTTGTTTAATTATTTTCAGTCCAGTCATGTCAGACATTTCTTTCTGCAGACTTCCAATGCCATCCTTGTCCAAGTTTGCTGTGGTTTTAAATGATCAGCACCTCCAAAGCAGTCCTCTGATGGGTCATATCACCAGCATTTTGGACCAGAGATTATCGTCAATAGATGATGCCAGGTCAGTATGAAGATAAATATAAAACTTACTTTGTAACACTGTGCTTTTCAAAAGTATTAATATGCCTCAAAGTTATAAATGTCCCATTATCAAATAAGATATTTTACGTAACAAACCAACGCAATGTAGCAGATAGCTGTGTTCTGCATGGAAGAAAACCTCTTTGGTTTGTTTGCTCTGTCTTATTGGACAGAGAGCAAATTTTAGCATTCGTCTTTAATTCTTGCCCCTTAAACTTGATGGGATGTAGATCTGGACTCTTAACTGGGCCGTTCTAACACATGAATGTTTCTGATCTAAATTATTGTATTGTAGCTCCAGGAGCCACTAATGGCTGCCGTCCTGCTGATATTTGTACAGCAAGAATTGCTTTATTTTTAGCTTCATCCATTTTCCTTTACACTCTGACCAGCTTCCTTGTTACTGGTAAAGAAAAGCATCCCCGCAGCATGATGCTGCCAACACTATGTTTCAGGGAATGCTCAGGTTGACATGTTGTTTTAGATCCCAGCCACATAAACCAGGTTTTTGTTTTGACCCATGTTTTTAAAATGTTGGCAGTTTTTATGCTGGAATTATGTTGCTACAATTTCAAGAAAATTAATAGAACATTTATTTATATAAGACCTTTCCAGGTATAAAAATAATAGTGCTTTTAGCTTCATTAATGCAATGAACCAAGCCAAAAAAAAAAGCAAAACAGTGATGATTTCTGAAGATGTTTTTACAGTTCTGCTTGGTTCTTAACCAAGGCTCTGTAACAAACCTCTGAATTATGCACAGTTTATGTCCATTCACTTTTTAAACTAAAAGCAAAAAGCTGGCCACACTTTTAAGATTAAAATTTGTAGAAGAAAAAAAATGAAACTGATAATTATCTTTACTTTCCTGACAATTATTTACCCCTTTTGTTTGTGCCTTATATATAAAATGTAATATTTCAAAGTTTATGGTTACTTTCAATATGGCAAAAAAAAAAAAAAAAACGGAAAAAAGTTCAGGATGTATCGATATTTTACATACTTACTTTTATATACGTGATTGCCTTACAAATCTTGTAATGTCTTGAGTTTTTTTCCCTCCAGGATCCTGACGGCTCTGATGATCAGCGTGTCGTCTCTTGTGTCGACGCGGCTGCGGGATGCTCTGATCAGCAGAGCTGAATATCTGCTGCACACCATTGACCCGTTGAATTACAACACCCCAAGGAGGATGGTGCAGTTTCTGCGCAACGTCAAGTACATTCACCGGCCCCTGCTGGAGAAGTGCAATGAGATTTTCCTGCGCAACATTCCCCGACTGGACGCCGAGAACATCAGCCTCATTTTAGGTCTATATCAGTCCCTTCAGTTCAACAATTGCGACTTCAGACTGGCGGCTAAAGAAAGGCTGACTGAGCTGATCGACACAAGTACCGACCCTTTTTCCTTCTCCAAACTCTTTGTTGCTCTGGCACCAATCGGGAGTCCAGAGATCAGAGAAAGGTTGGTGTTGGGATCAGTATAAAGACACGTTTACACAACTTTTTACAAAAGTTTACAATATGTGTTTTGTTTCTCAGGTTGGAAAACACCACCCTCCTGGTGGCAGATGAGTTCAGTGCTCAGCAAGCTTTGGCTGTGACTGAAGCTCTGGAGGAGATTCAGAGCAGAAACCTCAGCTTATTAAACAAGTGAGTTTCTTTGGGAGTTTCATTCTGCCACTTGAAGGACATGAAGTACATTATTTCTGTGGTGTCCAACTGCCTCTTTTGATTGGCCAGAAAATCTGAGGTGGGCGTGGTTACAATTGATCTTCAGCAGGAACACATTTTGTGAGAGAATATGTCGGGCTTTTAAAAGGCACATTTTAAAATTTCATTGCTCAAATGTCAGTTTTGTTCCCTGACTTAAAGAGCTTTGGTTTTTATAAGCAATTGATTCTGTGACGATTTTGGGAAACAATGCTTTGCTCAAAAAATCTCCCAGAATCCTCATGTGTTATTAGGACTCTCTTATGATTATCTAATAAAGCGGGGCATACACTGTGCGACTTTTTTTTTTTTCATTCATTGCACGCTGCTACTGCTCACACTGTACGACTAATCGCCAGGTTTATTCGTACAGTGTGAGTCCACAGCTCACGATTTATGTTTGACCCGACGCTCTGATGCGATCTACCTGCTCACACTGTACGACTAAAAACCATGTCGGACTCAGCTCAGCAGTGAGATCGAGCTGCTTTGACTCGTCTATCTGGAAGCCAAACAAATAGCAGGGGATTATTAAGCTCAGTCGAGTGAAATGCGCAGCCTTGACAATTTGTGCAATTGTCAATGAAAGCCCTGAAAAGAAAAGGCGACGACATATTTGAAAAAAAGACATGACTGAGCAAAGGTGGCTACTGTCAATTTTACAGACAGAACTGCATTTCACTCATTGCATCCCTGCCACGCTGCTGTGTTTACATCTGAGAGTAAGAATAAAAAGAAGAATCCTTGTTTGCGCATGCACCCTGAGCGATTTGCCCACGATGGTCGGGAGAAAATCAAACATGTTTGATTTTCTCCCGACCTCACGATTCCTGAACGGGAGGTGGTCATGAGAGGCTGATCGCCACTCGTAACCCCCTGTACACTACATGACTCATGACGCACGATCAGGCTGAAAGTCGGCCCGATCGAAAGATTCTAGCATTACCGGAAAATCGCCCCGAAAATCGCACAGTGTACGCCGGGCTTAAGACTGAAACCTTAGGGCTGGAGAAGAGACAGGTTAGCAATCCATGCAGGGTTTGTTCATAACATGATATGACAGCACAGGTTGGGGTTTTTCACTACCGTACAGGCTAGAGCCATCTTTTATTTAGTTTAGCTCAATGGTTTATTTGACAATATACATCAATAAACATTGCTGTAAATGCACCAGAATTAGTCTATGGGCTATTTTTAATCTGTTGCCCGTGGGTAAATGTTTTTACACAAAGAAAAATGTAAACGCTCAAGGGTAACATTAAATGTTGTGCCAAAACTGCAAAACAACAACCTCCGTTTTTCATCACAATGTTTTTTTTTTTTATCACAGCTGCTTACCTTATCAAGGCTGCACTGTAAGAAATGAAATTGTGTAGAGAGCTGTTCTTAACGAAATTTCTTTTTGGTTACACTTGTGTGTACAAAATGACATAATTAATATGTCTACGTCTCTCTAACAAAATTATATAAAATCACCAATCATTAAATGTTAAAAAGCAGGCTGTTTTCTTTGGAAAACACGTTTTTTCTCTTAAAAAGCAAGTTCTTTTAAAAAGGAAATGGTTTTCTTTGAACCCTTCATCTGGGGTGAAAGTGATTATAGTAGAGGTATACTCATTAGATAGGGATACATATCTGCTCGGTGGAAAAAAACAAAATGTTTTTAAAGAAGATTTTAGAGGTAAAAGCTCTGATTGACAGAGTTCTCCTTTTGAGCAGTTGGTTTTTCAGCTTGATAAACCATTTATTAAGTCATTTATTAAACCCAAAAGCTTCACTGATTTTTCTTAATAACTTTAAAATGATTTAAGCTGTAACACACCCCCACAAAGCAGATTGGTTAATAAAATTCAAGCATCGATCACCCTTATATTAATGTAATTATAATGTAATCTAATGTGGCCACTTTGAGGAAACGAAAGCTGCTCTGTAGGTCCGTTCCTGCTGAGGAACCTGTTTCCACATGAAACATCGGAATAAATTCACTTCCTTTATCTATTTTCTTTTTGTGGAATAATTTCTGTATTATTTTCCAGAATTGCATCTGTGATCCAGAAGAACCTTCATGCCTACAAGTCGGTGGAGGTGGCCAGGATCACCCAGGCCCTGTTCCTGTTGCATTATCAGAACCCAGAACTCTTTGCTACCCTCAGAAAAGTTTTGGCGAGGTGAGTTTTTATTCAGAGGTAGGTTTTTTTTTTTTCATCCCAGTTGAAGCCGATCAGAAGCACACTGATGGACGTTTCATGCTGTAGTTTTTTGCAGCGCAGCTTCTACCCCTACGAAGTGACCATGCTGACCCGGGTTCTCTCCATGCTGCCCAGCCCGCGCCTCGATGAGGGCGTGGTCTCTCGGGTGGATGACGTGATAGCACAGTGTAACCTAAGCGAACTCAACACCATCTCCTTCGCTGTTGCTAAGTGGATACGGAACGATCCTTCGTACCGCCACAACACCCACAGCAGGTATGTGCGGCTGCTGCAGCGCCTGAGCCACTTTGGCCACGAGAGACTGCAGACGGCCGACCGGCTGGACCTGGTGCTGGAGGAACTCAAATACGTGTCCGGAGAGTGGTTCGAGGAGATGCTACTCGAAGAGACTATCGTCACCCTGAAGAGGATGATGGATCAAATAAACCCAACCACGGTTCCCGACCTCGCCTTCTTCTTGACCAGAACCAATCATCTTTACCCTCCTCTGATGGACAGAATTGCCAGCGTTGCCACTGAACACATCAACAAAGTACCCAATAAGACATCCTAACATTTTATTCTTGATTAATAACATCTCTACTAACATTTGTTTCTTTTTTTTTCTCCTTAAGATTCACTTCTCGGCCACATATGCCACCCTGCTGCCATTTTCTGTCCTGAATTATGAACCTGTCAATGCAGATGAGCTTTATGATGCTTGTATTAAGCGCTTCACTCCTCACATAAGTAAGTTATTCATTACTTCATCCCTTCGTTATGTATTTTCTCCTACTGTGAATATACACTTATAATCATCTCTGTATGTTTTTAGGCTCATTTGACCCTCATCTGTTGGTCCTCCTGGCGTATTCCTTGGCTGTAGCAGATCGATTTCCTGAAGAACTAATCAGAGAAATCTTCAGCATTGATTTTCTTGGAAAACTGGACTGCCAGCTGGAAAGTATGACCTTAATAATACCTCTGCAAATATGAGGGAAAGTCTTTCTTCAGCTGGATGAAAGGGAGTGTATTCCAACAGGTCTCCCTGATGCCCTGAACATGAGGACACGACAGCGCCTCATGGAGCTCAACCGGGCCGTGTGTCTGGAATGTCCAGAGTTTCAGGTCCCTTGGTTTCACGAGCGTTACTGCCAGCAGCTGCAGAGGAAAGGTAAGAGGACGGGGTTCATGCCTGTTTTCCATTTTGAGGCCAACTGTTTTTGAAATGTATGAAACTTTTCCTGAATGGATTCAGGGAACGGCTCCGTCAGTCCCGTGCAGCAACAGATCCATAAAATGTTGGGCGAAGTTCTCGGTGGAATCAACTTTGTTCAAGCAGCCGTTACCACTCCATATTTTTACACCGTAGGTGAGTACTGGTAAACAGGAATGCAAGCAGAGCACCTTAAAAACTATTCACACGTCTTAAACTTTCTTTTTGTATTCCAACCTATAGTGTGTTTTGGTGTGATTTATGTGGTTGATTAACAGAGTTGTGAAAAAGTTTAGTCCACATGTAAAGGGAAATACAAATCTTAAGTCTGTCGATTTGTAAAATAAAGATAAAGCTACAATTAAATAGTTCAAGATTTAAAATTTTTATTAGCCAATTGTGACAGACATCAGTCCAGACACATTGGAATTCTTTTGCAGAGCCCTGAAGGCAAAAAAAAACTAAACAGGGAATACATAAAAGAAAAAAATAAAATAAAATGGAAAAGATAAAACATAAAGAGATATGGAGACTAAATATTAATATATAACCTTAGTAGGTAAGGTATTTTCTTTTTTTATTTTATGGTAGGTAAGTGACATTGAAGTGACATTATAAATCTGTTTAAGTATATAAAATGTACAGTATAACTGCAAACAATGGCGGTGTGCAGAGTAATGAATATGAATAAATATTTAGATCAAAGTATAACAATGGCCTAGTAATCCAAGCCCAGACCGAAATACAGTTAAGAATCCAATCTGACTTGGCATGCGAAGGGGTAACATCCAAAGCTGTTCAATAAAGACTGAAATGAACTTGCTGCTCAAATAAAGGGCCATATTGAAAAGTTTTGATTCGATTGGCTTCAATACAAATGCACTTCCCACTGGTCAGGTTTTATTTATAAAAATTCTTGAAACCCAGGTAGAGTTTTTCTTCTGTTTCACCATATTTCACCACTTTGAGTAGTTCTATCACATTAGAATCTCAATAAAATGTTTTGAGCCTTGTGTTTTTTTACAGTACGTGTACTAAAGGCACTGGACAGTTAGCACTTATCTGAGTGGACTTTAAATCATGATGGGACAGGGAATAAATGAAACCCTAAGGAAATATGAGTGAAACAAATTTGCCACAATGGGTTTTATTTACTTTCTAGAAGGAAGAATTTGATAAATCAAGAAACTTGGCTGACCAACAGCCATAAGATAAGATGTTTTCAATCAGTCTTATCTATAAACAGGGGCGTTGCTAGGCACAAAGCTTTACTGGGGCACTGGCCCCCTAACGCATATGCCCCTCCTTCCATACACAAATACAGACAAGCACACTGCCCCACCCTGATAAATTCCTACCAAAATTAGCAGTTGAGATATTGAGTGTAAGAGCATATTTGTTTTAACAAACATGAACATTTTCAACATTGCAGCTATAAAAAATAAGACATCACCAACTTTGACAAATAAAAAGCTTCCTTATACACATTCTGAAGTAATCATTAATTCCTAGGTTTCAAAGTTTTAGTTCAGGTGAAAGTTTAACTCAACATGAACTAAGTTTTTCTTTTATTTTTGAGCATTAAAGTGTACCTCCTATTTTTCATTTTTGCAAAGCGGTCAATCACTTCACTGTGACTCAGCTTAGAAAGTTCTTCCTTTTCAACTGATAAAATAGCAAGATGATGGAGCCTGTCTTGTCCCATTGTGCACCTCGGCCAAGTGTGGAGCCTTCTCAACACACTGAATGACCTTTCACAACTACAGCTGTTGATTGTGATTGTGAGGGAGATCTGGATGACCTGCGTTAGTGTTGGGAACATGGTGTTATCAAGCAAATTGAAAACACACTGCATATCCTTGATGACAAAGCTTTCTTTTTCAACCAGGAAAAGCTTTCAAACCATTTTGAATTAACGTTTTTTTACTCCAAATTTGTCCTGGGGATAGTGGGACAACTTCACTTCTTTAGGACTATCATGCTTTCCCCCTAAGTCACTAATGTCCCCTTCTTGTTTGTGGAAGCTGGTTGTTGCTCCATCATCACCTTCATGGTCCTGTCACTCGCCTGTCAGTCTCGCCTCCTCCTCCCTTTCCTACTCCAGCACCTGCATTCTCATTCTCTAAAGCAAACATTAAAAAACGTAAATTTATAATTATGTAAATATCAATTATATTGCTAATAACGTTCCTAATGTAACTGGTTACATTAAATCACTAATTCATAACGGGACCTTACCTCCCTCTCTCATCTTGTTTTACTGCTTCCCTGTCTCTGCTTCGTGTGAGGAATTTCCTGATATCAATCTACAAACTAATGCAGTAATTTTCAGCTAGTAGCCTATAAATCATGTGGTTTCACTGGGAAAATAATAAAATTGACAGGTAAGAAACGTTACCAGAACAAAAAATACGTCGCGGCCGCACAGTGTCCCATCCAACTCAGTTGAGAGCAGCGCGTTAGTTTACCTGCAGTTCATGCAGTGACATGTGCTGATGTGGGGGCGCTAAGACATCCTCAATTTGGAGTTACCAACACACCTGCTACGCATTTGAGTAGAAATACACGTCTCCTCCCGTTGAAATTATCTAAATTGATACATTAAAAAAATGTATTATCTTTGCAAATATTCACAAGATTTATACTGGGGCACAGCTCATTTATACTGGGGCACGTGCCCCAGTAAATGGGGTCTGGCGACGCCGATGTCTATAAAGATGTTAAAATCTACTGTTGGGTTAACCCTGAATGAACCCCACAAATATTAAAGAATAATGCAGACAATTGACTAGACTGATACCAGAATGCAGTGACTTTGCTTTTTCAGGGTTATGAAGCAGCACTGATGTAAAGCTTTTTTGTGTGACTTGCTTTTTATTCAGAAATCTGTTAATAAATGTTTTTATTTATGTATTTCAGATTTCGAATGTAAAGTGGACAAACACTTGAAGCCCTTGTCTTACTCTGAGCCAGGCACTTTGCAGATCTCAGACAGAGGAAAGGTTCTCTGGGACTCAAGTTCACTGGAAAGTGGCCAAGATGAGCTTCCAGCTGGAGCACAGCGGTGAGGATGCACAGCAGGAGCCCCTCGATTCAATCATTCAGGGAATCGGGTCATGGGTTCTCAAAAAGCCATGTCCTCATCTCTTTATTGCACGTGAATAAGAAATATTACTTGATTCGCTACATTGTTCTGTGTCATTTTGTCTTTTCCACCATACTTTACAAAGATTTCCATACTGTTTTAGTGTGTATTTTATTCCTGATCTTACTAATCCTTCACCTTAAAATGCAGTAAGGAGAAATGACACAGTTAAAGACTTTCCAACCCATGGATAATATCTGGGATGTTTTTTTTTTTTTTTACAATTTGTCCCTCAAGAGCCACCACCTTGTTTCATAGTGTCCGTCTTCTCTTGTGTGTTGCTTTTTTGTGATACACATTTACACCCAAATTTACACCTTTGTCTCTTCTGATCACACAAACTTCTTCCACATGTTTGGTGTTTCCTGTCCTAACTTAAGGTAAACTGCTAATTGGAGGTGTCATAGCTTTCTTTAAGCCACTCATCCCTGAAGACCAGATTTATGGAGCATATTATGATCAGTAGTCACTCTGTTGATATATTTATCCTCCTGAGTTTGGTTTCTCTGCAGCTCCTCCAGGGTAACCAAGTTATTTTGATTCTTTCTTTGATTATTTCTCTTCGTGTTTGACCTGTCAGTTTAGATTGCCAGATTTGTCTCAGTAGGTATACCAACAAGACAATCACTATTGTAACATAACTGATTAAACAAAGGATGGATAATTTTGCTTTAAACTCCTTTAAAACTTCCTGTATGAACTCCTGGCTTTGTTTGTTTGGGAGCAAAAAATCTGTTTTGGTCTGTTGCATAAAATTAGAATAAAATACATTTAAGTATCTAGTTGCAACCTTTATAAGAAACTATAATAAAGACTGGAAACAGGAGATTTCGATGCAGAAAGCAGCTTACAGACTTTACATTAAAAATGGGATAAAGCCAATGATGAATGTGTCGTCTGTTTCTTATAGAATCGTTATCGACTTTCTGGATTCCAAGTTCTTCTGCAAAAACTCTCATCACATGAAAGGTGAAGCCTTAATGAGAAAGAGACATCTGGAGATTTTGGGATACCGTGTTGTTCAGGTAGAAACAGTAGTCAGCGTGGTGTTGAATTTATGGTGTGACAGTTATTAATGCGCTGCTATGATTTATGCCTTATCTTTTGCAGATCCCCCACTTTGAATGGAACTCCATGGAGCTTTCTACACACCACGCTTGGAAGGAATATCTTAGAAAGAAAATTCTGGGATGATCCTTTTTTTTTTCCTCTTGCCTTATTTATAAGATGATGAGAAAATATGGGGGTTTTCTGCATCGTAGCACAGCTTTGGTTTAAGGTCTGAGCAGATCCTCTGAACAAAAAGTGCTACGATGCTGTCCAGGTGACATGAATCTACCTCCCTCATGTTAAGTGGCAGTGAATTATGTGCTTTTGTATTAAATAACTTAAAAATGTAAATGGGAAGTGGTTGTGTCTTATTGGATTAATGAAGATTTAATATATGATTTTATTTGTATTTTTGTTATTTAGAAAAAAAAAAATCGAAATTTTGTAACCTTTTGTCTATACTGCCTTTTTCCATGTTAAACATTTTTTTATGTATGAACGCAGCTTGAAATATTTTCCTTTAAAGTTACGGAGGAAACTCCTCCCTAACTTTAATCTATTTGTATCTCAAATACATAAATATCATTTTTGTTAGCTTAAAAACTGAAATATTTTTTCTTATTTGATATATCATTTTTATTTTTAAACATTTTAATCAGACTGTAGTTCAACACAGGAAAAAGTTACTTCATTTTAAAACAATAAAAACCACCTTTTTCTAGGAGCTTGCAAATAAAACTGTCCGAAAGCAAAGAGGCAAAGGTCCTGCGTTACAGTTTGGGCATTTTGGCTGCGTTCAGTCGCATGGAGACACATGAAGCTCCGGCTGCGTAACGCATCTCTTTGATCATCCCGCTCCACTGTTTGGTGTCATCTTCATACCTGATACAACCAATAAAAAAAGTATTACTACTGTATTTAAACACAATGTATAAATTGATGGTAACAGGAGGAAAACCCAAACATACTGCCAAATGTCGATGACTTCAGTAGGCGTACACTCGTGGTTCTCGTTGTCCACCATGGCGAAGCCTCCCACAGCATACAGCAGCCCCCCACAGCTCACCAGGTTGATTGAGCTCCTCTCCTGGGGAAACTCTGTGAAGGGCGACCACCTGCAACAAAGAACATAATTATCTAAAATTTGGCGAGTATGAAAGATTTTAAGTAACAAGAATAAACTTTCCATCTTTTTTTGTTATACTTCGTTTTGCAAAAGCCTTTTAAAGTAACAGTCAATGGAATTACTCGTTTTTCTGCTTAAATAAAAGACATAAGTATTTTAAACATAGATTAGTACTTGTAAGATATTTACCAGTTAGTCATTTCATTGGGCTTTTTTTTTAACACCATAAATTACCATTAAATATGGCCTTTTTTTCATTCATACATCCATTGTCTTTAGGCTTTATTCTGATGTCTTCTGACCCTTTTAAATCTTCCTGTACACTAATGTATTTATTATGATTTAAATAATTACGAACCCTTTAAATAAACAATTGTTCTACGAATTCTTACCAGTTATAATTTTTTATGAGAAACTCCAGTCTTTAGGTGGTGGAATTCATTACAATGTAGTTTATATGGATTTAATTCCTAAAAATGCAAAAACATCTAAAATGATCAAGAAATTTACTGTTGCTATTATAAAATGTAGCTAGATGTTCCCATAAAAATTAAAATCCTTTCACCATAACTTCATAAAAACTGAATTTTTTCTTTTTTTTACTTTCAGTATTAAGAAAAAACTTCCATATCGTAATTCTACATAAGTTCTAACATTTAGAAATTTCATTATACGACATGTGCCTAAAGACACTTTAAAAATTTGTGCCAGAACTAAAGAATACACATGGCAGAAACCTAGAGGTTTGTATTTAGGGGACAGGACAGAATTCAACAAGGACCCGGTAGATTATTCATCCTTCAGATGATTTATATATACTTTAGCTAACAGGTATCTAAAATAAAAGTTATTTTACCAATTGGAACAATTGCTAATTCTGTTTTAGAAGCCTTTGTGCCTAAATATTTCATATACTACTACTAATACTTAAATCACTTAAACTGTATAAAGGTTCTGGGAATTGGACAAAAAAAAAAGCAGCTGTAGTACAAAGAAAACTTTTTTTCATCTATAAACTGTCACTGGAAGATCTGGCTTGAATGTTCTGAATAACGAACATATCTGTATTTAAAATCCAGCCCTTACTTGTTGGACCCAAAGTCATAGGCTTCGCATGCTGCTGTCAGTCCGTCTTCATTGACTCCTCCAGCGACAATAAGCCTGCCCTTGTGGATAACTGCTCCAAACATGGATCTAGAAGTCTTCATTGAAGCGACCTCCTTCCACTCTGACCTCTTGTGGTTGTATGCAAACATCTTATTTGTTGCTTTGCTTTAGTGAAGAAGACAAAACAGCACCATTGTTAGAGCTAATAAAAGTTTCATTTGCATTAAATGCATGCAGGAGCTTACTTGTCGTCAGTTTTTCCTCCTAGGCAGTACACTAAGCCGTTCATAGATACCACACAGTGGCCGTGGATTTTCACAGGTAACTTCTTTGTTTCTGTCCACTTCATTTTCCTGGAAGTAGAAGAAACACGACTTCTGTAAGGACAAACTATTCTAAGTAAACCTCCATTCAAATGTTTAACATGTGAAACCTACTCTGTATCATAGCACAAAACGGTGTCATGAGACTCATTGGACTGTAAATCTTTTCCTGCCACTGCGAATATTAGGTTTTCAAATTCGCCCATTGCGAAGAGACACCTAGGGGAAGGCATCGGTGGAAGGGCTTGCCATTCGGCAGCAAGGCTGTCCAGCTGAAAAGTAAAGACACGTTTTAAAAACTGAGCGCTGTTTGAATCAAGCAACGCTTCCCTACCTGGTAGAAGTAGCACTGCAGTGGGTTTTCTTTATCCTCCTCATCTACAAACAATCCTCCCAGCACATACAGCTTGTTCTTCTTCGATGTGAGGCTGACGTGGTTTCGGGGAATTCGCTCAGACATTGCTGCCAGAAAACATTCATTCTCTTGGCCGTCGTAAGCCACGGCGGCAGTGTCATTAATCATGACGATCACATCTTTGGCGTACATGCCGTATCTGCGGTTGTTGTTCAGGTAACCTGGCAGCGTCTCCTCCTCTCCCTCAGCATCACCTGAGCCCTTGTTCTTCTCTGGCAGCTTGCCTGCGAATGCTTCCTTTATGACTTTGATCTTTTTGAGGAGCTCTGGATCAGCCTTGATGAGCTCATCTTTCTCCACTTTTTCTTTGAAGTATTTCTCTGGAATAAGACGGAAGCGAATGTAGTCAAAAGCCTCCTCCAAGGATTTTGCTCGTTTTTCTTTATCCTTCCTGATCCACCTCATGAGAGCCTCAAACACAGACTCTTCTTTCTCAACATTTAACCTATCAGCTCCGATGATGGCGAAGAGCTCAGGTGGGGCGAGCTCTAGGAAATCATCATCTTTGACAACGGTCTCAAAGCGATCGGCGATGTAATCTCTGGCTGCCATGGCCAGCCTGGCACAGTTCAGCATCAGCCCCAGCCTGTAGATGGCGAGGCAGCTCTTCTCTGTGATACTCTTTTGTAGATAATTCACACAAACCGTGAACGCCGAGGGGATCTGGAACCGATTTGCAATGGCCAAGATGTCCTGAACGTTGCTGTCAGTGATGTCAATCTCAGCAGAGTACAGATAATTCACAATCAGCTCCATAAGGTTAGGATCAAGGTTCTCCAAGACGACCTCCTTCCTGTCCACCTCTTGTCCATCCACAGAGAAGAAAAGCTCCCGGAAATATGGGCTGCATGCTGCTAGAATGAGCCGGTGGCTGGGGATGCTTCTGTCTCCAACCTTTAGGACACAGTCAATCAGCTTATTCTCATTCAAGAGCTCTTTGAGTCCATCTTGTAACAGAGTGCTCTGAAACAGACGAAGATCCTCTCTCAGACCTTGGGCGTCCATTCTCTTCTGTGGACAGAAGGCAGCACACTACAGGCACACAGGTCTGTAGCTGCTTCAATATAACCATGCCCTGCTAAATATAGCCCACCACCCTAACCAGGAAGAATTCAGGTTGGCCAAAGTGGAGCTCTCACCCAGCTGTCACAAAGGCCAAACAACTGTGGAGCCTTGTCACTCCTATATTGTTGTACAGCCACACAAAAATAACACAATCCTTATGCTTTATTCCAACTTTGGCTCTCTTTCTGAAAGGAACATTCGATTCTAATCTTTTATATCACCTTAACTCATGTGATGACATCTACAGTTTATAACACGATGAAAAATCTATATGTTGACTCACGGTTTATTGATAGCAGTGACAGCCCAGTCTGTGAGATTCAGTTTTTATGCTGTGAGACATTCAAACGCCCCCTAACCAGCAGCCAGGTAGCTTATCCTTCATTCTTTAAATATTAGTACATCTTTTTAATTAGACTATGACACCTCAACATTAAGAACTATTAAGTATGTTGATGTTTTATCAATCAATGAGAAAAGAACAGACTTTATTTAAATAGATTTTATTCTCAATAGACTTTTACATCCTATAAGCAAATACCTCTATTGTTTACGTTATTGCTGTCAGAGACAACAAGGAAGGGAGGGAGGAAGGACACAAGAAGCAAGGAAGGACATAAAGAAGTAAGCAAAGCAGAAAGGAAGGTAGGACACAAGGAAGAAAGAAAAATGGCGTAAAGACAAAAGGAGGCAGGTGAACAGAAAATGAAGTAGAAAGAAAGAACACCAATAAGGAAAGGACAGAAATGAGATAAAAAGACCCAAAGAAAGAATAAATGAAAGATGGAAAGGTATAGGACACAAAGAGGGAAACAAAGAAGGATAGACAAGAATGATATGAGGAAGAATTTTCCCCTATTCTCAGGCTGTGTAGATACCCTGTTGTTACAGCATTAAAAACAAACAGTTAATAAAAGTTACCCCTTTTTCATAAAAAATGAAATTTAGTATATTTTCTATAAACAAAGCATTTGGAGTGTGCTTTGGTGACGCAGTGATAAGTGCACACGACCCATGTATGGAAGCCTTTGTCCTCGACGCGGGCGACCCGGGTTCGGATCCAGCCTGTGGTCCTTTCCCACATGTCTCTCCCCCTCTCTCATACCCCCTTTCCTGTCAGCCTACTGTACATGAAACGGTCCACTCGTGCCGTAAAAAAAAACAAAAAAAAAACAACAAAAAAAACCCAAAAAGCAATTGTAGATTAGGTGTAACCTTAATCTTAGCCTATTAGTGATAAATAAATGCCCTCTTGTCTGTCCATAGAGCACACTGATGTTTTTTCAGCCCACCACTTCCCACAGCCCCTGGAGGGTAAAGCCATCCTTAAGTCTCTCAATGGCGAGGCCAAGCTCATCAGAAAAAACTGCTTCACGGTCTTGTTGCTGTGGCATAAAAACAAAGATATTAGGTTCTCACTTTATGTTCAGCTGGCTAAAAACTTAAGTTTACTTAATTAGTTTATTTACCTTATTACCATCAGCAAAGTAGGCCTGGAACCAAAAAAACACAGGTAATTAACATTAATTATTGCTCTGAGTGGGATATTCTGGTTGTTAAGGTAGGTAATTGGGACTGAAGGCAACACAGACAGACGCACTAAGCAACACAAACTCTTGTTGGGTTTGTCATGCTGGGAAATATTAGCTGGTAGTTATTCTGAGAGTCTGACAAGCTTTAGACTCCCAGAGGACGGAGAGTGTAGCGGAGGCCGGCGAGCTCACTCACAGTAAAAGCATCAGTCTGTTCATCAGGCTCGATTTCCACATCATCAGGGGGCTGTTCCACCGTCAGTTCTTCCAGCGGCTGTGGCTGAAAACCAGAAAAAGGGCAGCTAGAGTACTTTGTCGACCTCTTAACATCTTTTCAACTTGTCACATTTTGTCACATAACCACACACTTATATTTATTGCAATTATTAGACAAGCATAGTGTTTAGATTTATTTCCTGGCTTTGACAAGGACATTTTAACACAAACCTCTGCCCAGATATGGAGTATTTTGCAGCCATGAACATATTTTCCATCCCAATTGATCCTGAATTTACTTCTGCTTACCAATTCTGACCAGCGAAATAGTGATAAATGAAACATCCTAAAAACACGATGGAGCCGCAACCATGCTTCGTATAGTGATGCTGTTTTAGAGGGATGTTCAGTATTGTTTTTTTCTTCACTGTTTCTTTGCATGTGGGAAAAATTCAATTCTGGGTCTCATGCCAAGGGAAATTCCCTGAATCTGTTTTTTTGCTCCCCTGCAGGACTTCCTATTACTATCTTTTTTATACTGTTCCATTAAAAAATAAATGTAGAGTGCATTACTAATAATTATCAAATTAAATAATTATAGATCTTCCAAAGCAACTATGAGGGTCTTTTTCTTGGCCAGCCAATTTAGATGGGTGGCAATTATGAAATGATGGATTTAACTGTACTCTATGAAACAATCAAAGATCGGAATGCTGTTTTATAACCTAACTTTGGTATAAATGTATCCACGCCTTTATCTTTGACCCGTCTGCTGTGTCCCATAGAATAGAATAGAATAGAATAGAATAGAATAAAATAGAATAGAATAAAATAGAATGGAATAGAATAGAAAATCCCTTTATTGTCCCACAACAGGTATAAAGCAGCAAAAAAAAAAAAAAAAAATAGGAAAAAAATGGTTAACCAAATTTGGACCTTAGAAAGGTGTATAAGAATAACATAATAGTGAAGAGTTAAAAAAATAAAATACTGTACTGTAAAGTGTTTTAAAAATGTAAATACTGTGCATCTGAAGAATAAATAATCAATATACAGCTATGGACATTTTTGTAAATATATATTAATGCTCTTAACTTCCATATCAATGTGTTTTTCTGCAAGTTTATTTCTCCCACACTGTTTACATTGATCGCTGCTGCACTTTAGGAAATGGAAATGTCATGAGAGCTGTACAACACAAAATTCCGTTTGTATGCACAGAGTGTATACAAAACGACAATAAAAGTTGTCTATATCTTTACAGTAATGGATATTTGAAAATAGCAGCTACATCAGAGATGTGCAAAATGACAGCAGCATGTTATTTAACTGACTAATGTAGAAACTGTGCAAAATCAACATGAATGTACCAACTTATTGAGGTTGTTGGGAACAGTGGTGGTCATGGAGTCTTATAGCTGCAAGTCCTCATGATGTTCTTTGTTTACATTTTTTTCTAATGAACATTTTGGCTTGGAAAGACAAACAGCTATTTCCAGCAGTTTACATTAAAAAAGGAGACTTCAATTACTGATTGAATACCTTCTGATAGTAAATGAATACATAATTCAAGTGGCACTTATGGGATTTTAATTCACAATAGCATTTTAATAATCATTCCATTCTGTTCACTTAAAATAAAATGAAAATCTATGCTAGAATGCAACTGTACCATTACAAGACATTAAAAAGTGCACTCTAATAACTCTAAAAATATACAGAACTTAAAGGGGAGGGGAGTAGTTTTGAATACTTTTCAATCATGGTTCAGGTGTTGGTCTAATTAAAAGTAATGTTAAACACTATTAAAGCTTGCTTACCTTTTCCTCCATCTCATAATCCACACCAAAGATGGGGTTTGCAGAGTAAACTTTATGCAAAGAGTTGATTTCTTTGAGAGCATCTTGAAGCTTCTCCACTGGATCAATTTTGAACCCAAGCACATATCCTCCACTCTAACACAAGAAGACTGCTGTCATTAGTGCATCATAAAGCATGAAGAGGAAAACCTTTATGATGGAAAAGCATAAAGAAGTCACCTGTCGTGAACTTTCAATCACCAAAGCCAGGCCAAACTTTGAGTCTCTTATTCTGATTGACCACTTGAAGAGGAGAGAAATTGGTTAGTCAATAAAATAAACAGGTCCACACTATGTAAATAGATTAAAACACAACAATGGAACATAGGCACTTTAAAAAGACTGTCATAAACTAAGATTACAAAGAATAAAATCCAGTTGGTTTCAAGCTTGTAAGGTGTTCAATAGTACATAAGAGGACTTTGCTGTTAGATAATGGAAAAAAATGGTTTTGCTTGATGATCTGGAAGCTGTTTTTGCAACTGGATTTTTTTCATGAATATGCATGAATATGAACTGGTGGATTTAAGAAGGGTAAAACCCTCACAGGGGTAAACCTACAATCTGGAGGTAAGGTATGCTGACGTTGAAGCTTTCGTTCATATTGGCATGCCACACTATCCGAACATTGGTGATAAAGAAGGTCCCCAGGTTACCCTACAAAAGAAAAGCATGTTACACAAAATCATTCACTTTAAACTTAAAAGCTTGAATACACAAAAATTCGAGTTTGTCTTTTTAACAAAGGGAGATCCTGTTTTGTCTATGCATGCCTATGTTCAAGAGATTTGTCAAAAAGTCAAAAATTTTAAAAACCATCTCAGTGAAAAACTTTCTGGACAAAAGCAGTACCTGATCACTGGATAGATTCCAAACTCCATTGATTTTATCGTACACTTGCTCCCGAGGCAAGAGTCTGAGCTGCTTGTTTTGAATGAGAGCAGCTCGTAGCTTCAGGTCCCGGTACATCTTAGAGGTCTCATAAGCCCTGAACAAAACAGAATTCATAACATTAACCCACCAGCTCTATATATCAAATAGAACCCTCCCTCAGTGTTTTTCTTTTACCTGTGTACAGCAATCACAGAGGTAAAGAGCCTTGGACTTCCGATAACCAGATTGGTAAAAATGAACTCAAATCTTGTGTTGTTTGACTTTGTTAAGATGTAGAGAGCTTCAGTATGTCCTCTCAGTTTCTAAAAAAAAAAAATAAAAAAAAAAAAATAATAATTTTGAAAAAAATATACTGAAAAGAAAAATAAGAGGTAATATCTTATGACAATCCTTCAGCTATATGAATGAAAATCTAAGGAAGTAAATGACAGAGTTACTCACAGAGTGTGCAGTCCTTGTTGTGATATTAATAATGGTGCTGTAACCCACGGCTTTGCATACAAAGAACAGAAACGTGACATATTATATTTTACGAGAGATAGTAGATATAACTTTATGACACACACACATTCAGACTAATGATCCACTCAGGGCTCTTAACTCTCACCCATTAGGAGTGAGACTCACCCATCTCAGTGTCTTTACACACTCTCACTCCATATTCCCAATTTCTCACACAAAAAAATTACAGACATTAAAACTCAACTCCGTTCCACTTATTTATGTATAAAAATACAATGGTGATCAAAATCCAGTCTGTGTTTTTAATACAACCTTAGTGCTAACACACAAGGACATGCCAGGTTCATATCCAGTCCGTATTCACACCTATTCACTGTGCTAGATATTGAACAAAGACAGTTCTTATGAGGTATGTCATTTTTAATTTTTTTATCTTATCTCATCTGTAATAGGTTAATTCTCTTTGTAAATTATTGAAGATTTTGAGCAATCTAGTGCTTGAATTCAGGTTTGCCTCTCAAACTCATAGAAGCTCCACAACAAGAAAAAAGAACCATTGCATTTTATTTTTCAAAAGATCAGCCACCCAAGAAAAGACCAACCACATACAGAGAGGATGTGCAGAACAACTCAGTTATCCAGGATTCATAAAGGGGGAACCAAAGGGATGATCTCATTTTTTGTTATTACTTATCTTATTAATTTATTCTTATTTTGGTCCATTGAATATGTAAACTTAATTTCCATCACATTTTCCAAATGAAACATCCAGAGAAGTGCTGTCTTGTGTCATGGTGAGTTTTTATAAGCCTTCTAGATGATCCGAACTGTTTAGCTGTTTTGTCAATTATAAGAAAAACTAATGACATAATGAATTAAGCTTTTTAATCCTTAGCCTATTACCAAATATTCATACAGTATAGTTAACATGGATTTCGATTGCACTGGTTCCTGTATTAGTGTCAGTAATCCAGTGATAACTTATTAGTTTCCCATTGTTTATTTTACTTAAACTACATAGAATAATTAATAAACAAAGTTGTGAAATTCTTAGTTTACAGTATATTTAAGATGCAAGTATTTCAGTAGGGCCCATACTTCAATTCTCTAAAAATGACCAGAATATAGAAAATAATGGATATTGTGAGAAAAATGTTCCACATAGCTACAGATCACTTATTGTTACTCAGTAACATTTACTGTGAAATTAAAATATCCCACATACTGACACTTTGTTTCAGTTAAATCCACTGAAAACCTCCAACCTATAGCTGCACATGTCCTCAGAGCCTTTTGATCGAATCCTGTCAAAACTATTTCAAAATCTCACCCCAAGATTTGGTGAAAAGTTGGCAGCCGTGTCCACTATTTAGATATATTAAATTATACTCACACAAGTTGACTCTAGGCAGAGCCAACGAGTGCCAAATTATTCTCAGGTTTGTCACCAAGAGTCGTCCTAAAAAAAATTTAATAAAATTAAGAAAACAATATTATTAAAATGTTAGCAAAATCATCAGCTACGCTCTAATGAAACATCACCTCGATCTCCGTTATTTCCTTTGGTGTCTTCAATTGAATCCAGACAATCGATTAACACTTCTCCTGGGCGGGTTTTCATCTGTCTGTGCACAAGAAGGATTATCCAACAAACTATTAATGTCACACACTCATTAAACAGATATTTCCGACATAAGGCTAGCAGAAAAAAAATTGAATTAGGTTGTCAAAGGACGATGGAAGGTATTTTGTAGCATTTGGTTAGCCACTTAGCTACGTAATCTATCTGAGTGAGCTTGCTAGCAATGCTGCGGTTAATAACCCAGAATAAACTCACTGCGCAGTGATGTCGAATCTAACGTCTCTGTCTTCCCAGAGAGTATCTAAAGCAGCCATGGCATTTAATTCAAAATTCACTGTATTTTACCAGCGAAACAGTCAAAAGACCAACAGCTAAAGCTAATCTGAATTTATCCTGCTCAGCGTCATAATCTCCATGACAACGGACGGAAAGCGTAAAGGACAATTCCTGTTCTTCCTCTTCTTCTTCTATAGTGTTTTATTGCAGTTTATTAAGTATTTAATAGACACTACATTAGATGAGAGGATTTAGTATTTGTGTGTGTGAGAGTGTATTAGTATGTATTTAATTTAATTTAGTTTTTTTTTTATATATATATATTTGAAGCTATATAGGAAATGTTTTTCTGAATTACATGTCCATCCAATTGATGGCGGTAATACACTATAAGTGCTTTAACTTTATCATGTAAATGATGCTTCCCTAATAAATTAACCATATTTACTGAACTCCCCATTACCCTTTCCGGTTCTTTCCTCTCTTTTATATATTTTCTACAATAAATTAACACATGTTCTAATCCTTCTGTTGTCCCACAATAAGAACAATCAACTGATGGATGATTCCCAATAATTTTTAAACCACTATTTAAACTAGAATGCCCAATCCTCAACCTGTTTATCCATACTTCCTCTCTGCTATTCATTATACTCTGATTTCTTATGAATGCCTCCTTCTGTATTTTATATAAATGCCTTCCTCTTTCTTCTAAATTTCATCTCTCCTGCCATATATTATTTATTTTATCTTTAATAAAAAGGACAATTCCTTCTTCTTCTTTTCTATTATGGTGGATCGCAAGCAACTTTAAGGTGCATACCGTCACCTACTGTACATGAGTGTGTAGCAACATTACCTTACATCAAATTCTATTTTTTAATTTTGTATTCTTTAGATGAATAAATAATGCTTTCCTTAATCTGTGAATATCCTTTATATTTCATTTATTTCCCAATATTCCTTTAAGACTCCATTCTTGCCCTGTCCTTCCAATCATCCTCAATTTCTCCCTCTCATGTTCATATGTTTTACAGTTCATCAGTACATGTTCCACATTTTCTTTTTCTCCACATTCTTCACATTTAAAGGACAATGCCTCTCCAATTTGCATTGCTAAAAAGAACAGGGGTGGATATAAACTGGTTAAATACACACATACTCACATACACACTTACTAAAATTCTAATATTTCAGGATAAAATACCCAATTCAGTCAAACTTTATGTTTGAAAATTTTTAATTTGGCCAAACGTAAAATATTGAGAGGATGGAGAGAAAACCAGACAAAGTTTTAAATGGGAAGTTAAAATGCAAAGTATTTTATTCTAAATCTGATCCTTTTAAAACATATACAAAAAACAACAAACAACAACATACACCCAACCCTTCCGTGAAGTCTTATCTCTTAAACAACAACTGTATGCTTTGTAGTTCTGGCGTAGGATGTAGAAGTGTGTCCTGCAACTGAGGGATTTCAATTCAATTCAATTCCCAGGTCAGTTGGCAAGACACCTAACCTGCAATGGTAGTGTAGATGATGTCCAGAGGTTCACAGGCACCGCCAGGTGTAGCAGGGCCTGTTTATGGCAGCCTTGCTTCTGTCAGTGATGTTACAATGTACCAGCAGCATGGGGTTATATACCTCTGTTATGTAGATGATACTCAACAATTTTTAGCCATAAATCTGTGTTAGCCCCTCCGCTGATAGTGTGTGTTTTTTGAAAATGTAAATTAGTATTAGATTAATTCAACCCTAATAACTGTTGCATTTCAACTATTAGGAGCATTATTCCAATTCTGTCATAGTATTACCTGTTTAACACAGTGTTATTGTAATTTGATCTAGTTAGACTAAGATAGACACAAATAGAGGAGCTGAATTTAACTTGCTTGGAGTTCAGTTAGCTCTAAGCTTTTAACGAGATCATCTAATGTAGATACTGTCCCATCTGTGTTGTTCATGCTTTTAACATGAGTTCTTCTTTGCCCTATATGGTGTCCATCTTTAAAAGAGTAACTTGTTAGTTTGCAATTGGGGTAATTTTCAAGCCAGGCCCCATCTAAGGTGATAAGAAGGACAACATTGCAAGTTTGCCTATTTTCACTAATTGAATAGATGTTTAATAAATTCTGTTTGTGTACAAAATTCATGGACACAAAAAGGTGAGAAGGAAATGAAATCCTAAAACAAACAAAAAAAAGTATATCAAATAATCTGCTATTAAAGTAGATTAATTCCTATAGAAATAAGCAAATTGGATGCGAAATGAATGTGTATCAAATAATTTTGCTTGTACATCATGTATTTGTTAAATGCATGTCTCACACTTATTACTTTATATCTCACAATTGTGGTTAGTTATCTTATAAGCATTACTTTTTACCTCATAATTGTGACTATATCTTATAAACATGGCTTTATGGTTAATTCTATAGATAATCCCACTTTTGGGATGGCAAAATTTCTTGATGTTTTTTCTTTTTCTAACATTTAAACTTGAGTTCATTTTTGCATTCATTCAAATTATTAACATTGACATTATTAACACACATAAAGGAAAGCTCAGATTTCTTTTTTATATATATTTTTTTACATAATTAAAGGCCACATGAACCAATTACCACAACATCTAAGATGTTTATAAAACTTTTTCTCTTAATCTTTTCAGCACATGTAATCACATTTTGACAGTTGTACGTAATCAGGGGAATGTTTCTTAACTAATCTATTAAAGTGTGTTAAAAGTGTGAAGTGTGTGTTCATTTATTTCTTTGCATTGCCGTGTATTTGTTTCAACAATCAAAAATATTTTAAAGATCCATCATGACCTGTTTTAACTTAAGCAGTTACAATAAAGTATTCAATACATATATGTATTTTAGGATTAAATCCAAAAAATAAAATAATTTTTTTTCCCATAGGTAATATTTCTTTAAACCCTATGGACAGAAAAATGTATGTTTATATAGAATGAGGCCTATGTCTCATAATTATGAATTTATATCTCCTAAATAAGACTTATGTACTAATGTACGATATTACAGTGGGGCATATTTTACTTAAAAGTGACACTTATAGGCTTCCATAAGATAAAACAGAAGAAATGTGTTATGCAGACTATAAAAATGAACATTTTGGGTATGAATCTTAAGTAGTGTGCAAACATTCTCTAGAGGGTGCCAATACTACTTCAAAATTTGTTTTCTGTCAGACTGTCTGTCTGTCTGTCTGTCTGTCAACATACAGTAGTTAGATTACAAGGATAAATACCCAAAAACCAAAACACAAATAATTCACAGATGATGAGTTTATTCACAACTGCCATTTATAAAACATGTATTAAATCCTCTGTCATTTTAAAATTTATTAGTTTAAAACATCACAGATAATATCTGTTTATATTAAAAACATGTTTTAAAAAGTCTGCTTTGATCTTCATTAACCAGAAGGTTGCAGATTATTGTACTCTAATATCAGCATTTGATTATTACAGCTGCCTACAATGACTACAAACAAGACACAATTGAATAAAGAACAAAACAGATATGTAGTAAACTATATATTACACTATGAAATAGCTCACTGTCTGCTATGTGATTATGCTAAATGCATAGTTGGAGAAATGACTGAAGCTGCATTTTCTGTTGTTGTGTATTTACATTCATGACAACTAAATCCTACATTAAAAATTCAACCTGGATTTTTAAAGCAATATCAGTGCAAGTCCCAAGGTAATAAAGTCAGTTTTTCAAACAGATAAGGGGATCCATTTTCAGCAAAACCAGCAACTTCTGAAAAAATATTTCATATTGAGCAACTTCTCTGTATCTGGGGACAGGAATGTTAGAAAAGTGCAAGAAAACTGCTGAACACAGGTGAGTGAACTACAAATGTTGAGACTCTTGAATAATCAAACCCATTTTCCGATTTGTCTTCTCATCCAGCTGAAACAGAAAAAAAAATTGTGTTTGAACTAGAAAGAAAAAATAAAATTCCTGTTTGGTTGTAGAACTACTGAAAAGACATACCTGTTCTTAAAAGAACACAAGCTGTCTTGCATTCATCTTCAGTTTCATAGCGGTTTTCATTCCCACCACAGCCTCCGTACCAGAACTGTGCACAGGAGTTGGCCTGTTTGTCGTAATACCAGCAGATTACGTAGTTCCTGCAGGTTCCTTGGTCCAAAATGAGACTACAGCGTGGATCAGGAGCGGGAACCTCTGAGGAAGACATGGAGTTTTCAAAAGATTTGCCTGCCAATTTAAACTTACTTAGATTTATTTTTAATCAACAAATTTAAAATAAAACCTAGATGCACTACTACCAAAATAAAGGGTTATGCTATTCTTAATAAAGCACATAATGAAGCAGCTCAAACCAAAAACATCAAACACAGTTTCTGCAGCTCTTTAAAACATATGGAATACAGTAATTAAATAACCACAAAGAAGTGTATTTATTTGCTACGTACATATGAGTTTTGAACCCCTCTGGCATGAGTGTAAATTGTACTTAGTTTTATATACTTGAAATGTAGAATTTTAATATAAAACTTAAAGTGAATCTGTTGCAGATTATATTCCTTTAGGATAAAGCTGCTGTCTAGATGCAATGCTAGATGCATAGCTAGGTTGTCTGACCATTTTGGATTGAAAGCTTTATACTCCAGTACTGAGAGCAGAATGCACCAAAATTAAGATAAATAATTGGAACCCATAAGCCTCCTGCAGGATACTCAGAACTCCAACTCCAGACATGTATACATATTTAAGTAAGTTTATATGGATTCTATTTTATATTTTTGCTTTTCTATGTATGAGATTTTTGAGTAGAATTGAAGAGCTCACCTTTAGGTAATTCTTGACTCATTACAGGCTGCGACTGGTTGGTGTATGAAGATGTTTGTTGTCTTGACCAAGATGATAAAGTTCCTGGTAATTCAGATATTGTTGATGAGGAAAACCCTTCATCCCTGGGGGACGAACTGTCTCTTACAACTGATGATGTAGTTTCATTGATCGCTGGCGTGCTACTACCAGTCTGCACACTGGACCTCAGTTCTAAATCTTCTCCATCCTCATCCTCTTCTACTACCTAGAAATTCAAATTATGACATGATTAAATATTAACAAAATGCTGTAAGTAAAACATACAAAGGAGTTTTCAAGTATTACCTGTAAAGGAAGGGGATCGGAATTGATGGGTAGTGTGAATGCATCACCCCGGGCTCTTTTGTTGGTTTCTCTCTGGTTTTCATTTTCCCCTTCATGCTTTTTCCCATTTCCAGTGTTGTCAAAACCATTACTTTCAAAGCTATTGTATCCATTAACATACCTTCCATTGATCCTATTAAGACCAAGTCCGTTGATGCTGTTCCATTGTCCATTTGGGATGTGATTATAAATGAGGGCACCATTTTCATCTTCACAGAACTTGCTCACAAGTTTAGACTCCATTGCTGAAAAATGACATGAAGAAATATGTTAACTTCAATTCTTTGTTACAATTCTCAGATTGGAAAAGTACTCTTATTTGACTCAGTTCATCACCTGGGAGAGTATTGAAGTCATCAATAAGGTACATGTGCTCACTGTCTGGGTCAGAAGCTATGAGGTTAAGTTCTCGCAGGAACTCAGCCTGTGTGGGATCAGAGGAATTAACGATTCCTAGAGCATACATCTCTATGTTTGCTGCATGAGCCTCCCGCACTGCTATATCAAGCTTGACAGGTTCTCGGCTGTCTGTCTGACCGTCAGTGATGACAATGGCAACTTTTTGAACTCCAAACCGGGAGCTGAAGAAGGCCTCCTGAGTTGCCTTCCTTATAGCAGTACCTGTGTAGGTGCCTTCTCCCATGTATGTCATTTTCCGTATTGCTTCCTTTACGTCCTCCTTGGTCAAAAAACGTGCCAGGTTGAATTCTAAGTTAACATCCAGACTGTAGAGAACCAGTCCGATCCTGGTGGCATTGCGTCCAACTGTGGTTCTGTCCACCAACCTGATGACAAAGTCTTTGATGATCTCAAAGTTCTCAGGACCGACACTCTCTGAGCTGTCGATGACAAACACAAGCTCCATTGGTCTTTCTTTGCACTTGATGCCACATCCTGAAAAGTAGGAAATGCAAATTATTTTAACTTGAATGCTCTTGCACTGAGTCTGCTCAAAGTAGTTTCTTGATGAAAAAAAACCAGAATGTTAAAGATAGGACAGTACAAATAATGAAAAAGATGCTCTAAGCAAAAAAGTTTTAAAGACATAGTAAAGCGACTAACAATCTGGAGCTCCTGAACTGGCAGCAGCAAGAATTTTTCAGTTTATTCTGTCTTGTCTGTATTTTATCATTTGTTTGTGTCTTCTTGATGATTTTACTTAATGTGTGTGATAATCTGCACCTCTCTTGTTGCTCGTGAGAGGAAACGCCTATTAAACGCGTGCAGAGACCGTGCACGAGCCTTTTTTCCGCGTGCATGCTCTGTTTAAAAGTTGCTTTTTTCATCATTCATACAAGCTTACTTTCCAAAAGAAGATTTGCAATTTTTCCACTATGTCAGACTCACCACCGGAAAGTGAAAATGGGGACGAGCATGTAGGACGGCCTTATGTAAACATATCACCAGAATGATTGACATTAAGGAGGACCACTTACTTTGATGATCTACTTGAAAAATAAACATCCTCCATTATATCTTTAAACAGGCGCGGACTGGTAATCTATGATACCAGGCATTGCCCGTGGGCCGGTCCCTGGGTGGATGCCCGGATCTCTTCCAATTTGCATGTTTTCAAAACAAAAACAAGGCTACTGTATAAAACCTCTCGAACTCAACGCTATTCCTGACATTTTGAATTGAAAAAGCTTCCTGGATGAAAAGCGAAACGTCTTCAAACTTGGAAACCAAGTCCAGTGAATTGATTTTAATTTTTTTGGAAAGACATGGTTTGTTTGCAGGAGGTCAAATCTTAAAGTCTTACAGTTCTTTTTTTGGACAGCACTTGTTTACTCATGTTTCAAATACAAACAGCACAATATGCTGTCAAACTGAGGAAGAAAGATTGGATAAAATATTCACGAAAAAGTCCTAAAGTCTAAAGAAAGTTTATGAAAATCTTCAGAAAGCTTTCTAAACTGTAGATTATGAACACTAAGAGGGTAAAGGCGAAATATAAATAGAGAAGGAATAGTTTAATGTTTTTATCTTTTGGACATCTGTTTGCATCAGCTTCGAAAACAATGTTTATATCATACTGTGCTGACAGTCATAGAAAAGAAAGAACTTATTTCTAAATATTCATACACTTAATAAATATTTACAACAGTATAATCTGTTCTTTGTGATTCTGTAAAAATAAAAACTGTTACAGGCCAGCTCATATATATATTTTGAAACCTTAGAAAAGAGAGGGTGTAATTTATTTTACAGTTACATTTTTTACAGAACATGACAAAATGATATTTGGGTGGCTTTCTCACCGCATATTTCTTTGATCAGCCTAATTACGTCTTCTCTCTATAAATTCAAAGAAACTTCTATTAGTTGAGTACATATATTTTTTTTATAAAAGTATTTGCTTGTTGCATTTAACTTACTGTAAGTCCTGGTTCACCCTTGGCTCCTGATCTACCCTGTTATAAAAAAGGGTTAGGTTAAACAATCAGTGTTTTGGTTCAATAGGGTAAAAATACCTGTTTTATTTTTTATTATTTCTTCTTGGTCTTATTTATTTTTATTTCTTGAAGATTTTACCATTTCTCCAGGAACCCCGGTATCACCCATGTCTCCTTTGGTGCCTTTCATGCCCCTTTCACCCTGTGAACCGCGGTCCCCCTGCCCCAAACAAAACAACATTTTCCATTAAAAGGCAATATAAACCTGGTAGAGACTGTTTTAATGCTAAAATAAAAATGCTTACCTTAGGTCCAGGAAAGCCCTCTCCTTGCGGCCCTCTAGGTCCAGTCATTCCTTGAGATCCTGGCTCGCCCTGAGATTAGATTTTATATTAGATTAATTTACATAAAGACACTCATGCTTGCAAACCCCTATAATAAAAGTATTTAGGACATAGAAAAATCAACAATAAAATCTGTTCATGTTATGTTGCATTAAGTTAAATCTGATTTACCTTTGGCCCTTGAATGCCTACTCCAGGAGGTCCAACTGGACCAGGCGGCCCTGGCCTTCCAGTATTGCCCTAATGTTAAGAAAAGGTCAAGTTTATGACTTAGTGTTATGAAAATCCCAACAAAGGTTAAAGATCTTATCTCCGTTCAGTCTCTGGTTAACTTCGAATTTTTTTTTTTTTTTAAGGAAAAACAACTTGAACAACAAACATTTTTTTTCTTTGTCAAGCTCTCTTAACCCTGTTAAATTACTTCCATTTCCATAGTTTAGATTTGAAAAAAAAAACTTTTCACCCAATGCACATTCCGGAAAATAGGTAATAGGATTTTAGATGCATCAGCACTTAACTACTGAGGTGTCAGTCTGTTCATCAAACAATGTTTTAGCCATAAAGGGTCAAATAAAAATGCTTTTTTAAAGATATTTTTAAGTAAAAACATACAAATTTTCTCTTTAAATCGGCTCAAATATAATTTTGCTAAACAATGTTCTTTTGAAACAAACAGGTAAGTCACGATATTAACAGTCCAACCCAAAGTGTGACCATCTGATTAAAGGAAATCTGTAAATACAATCCAGAAACCACCAAAGCTCAACCAATAAATGGAAACTCCTGGAACACCAGCATGCCTGCTTATTATGAAGCAAGTCTTACTTTCTCACCAACTTAAATGTAGTTGACTAATAAGGAAAGTCAAAAACTGAAACCCTCAAGTTTGTTGGAGAATTACAGTTGGCAAAGTAAGCCTAAAACCTTCTGGAAAACATTCGTCCACAATGACAAGGGGAGTGTTTGGAGGGTTCCAGATGAGCCTTTCAAAGCAAGCATATGGTCTACTCTGGTAATCAAATGTATTTTTTTCTTTATTATTTCTCACTTTACTAGGTATGGTTTCTGCAATAAATCTGCTTTAAAAAGCACTTCTTCTTGTCAACAAAAAATATATATGTTTTAACTTTATAAACTGATGTAAAGCCTTCAATATACCATCCACCCTTATTTATCATTAATTTTGATGTTTTTTATGATATTTTTCTTACTGGCGGGCCCAGTAAGCCCTCGCCTGGTGGTCCGGGTAAACCTGGCAGTCCTCTAAAGCCAATATCACCCTAAAACAGAGAGCATTATCATTAGGGGTAAGAAACAAACTAAGACAAGACGTTTCCCAATCGTAAAGCTCGTAAAGACAAACCTTTGGACCAGGAATTCCCACTCCCTCTTGCCCAGGCTCCCCTGGTAACCCTGGCATTCCTGGAGGACCCTGGGCACAATAAAAGAAAGTGCTTCTCAGAGTTTTGTTTTAAGAGGATGTTTTGTAGGATGTACATGGTTTGATTTCTTGAATTACGATACCACAGGGCCAGGAAAGCCTTCACCCTTTGGACCAATTGGACCTGGTAAACCTGTAAGACCTCGGTCACCCTAAGTTTAAAAAAAAAAAAAAAAATGCAAAGAAATTACAAATGAAAATTGACAGTGCAGTTTTCTAGATAGATATGTTAAAAAATATTAATGTTTATAAGCTTATGTGATGACATTTACTTTTGGTCCAGGTAGACCAAGACCTGTTTCACCAATAGGACCAGGAGGACCAGCGGGACCAACTTCACCCTGAACATGATGAAGCAGAATTACTACACTAAAATCGTATCCCAGCATTTTATTCTTATTTCATCTTTGGCATGAGGTTTTATTTGACAGTTTAGCTGTTTGTTTCCAAGATCCATCCTTCTTTTACCTTTGGACCTGATATGGACCGTCCTGGCTGCCCTGACATGCCCTGCGGACCTGGAATTCCACGTTCTCCCTGAAAGAAGACAATTGGCAGCAGACTTTTGATTTATTAATGCATGAGTAAAGAAACATCTCTAGTGCCAAGATGTAATTAAAGATGAGATTTTTGGCTCTGCTTGGCTAGTGTTGTATAAATCTTCACCAAAAGTAAATCTGTGATACTCAGAGGTTTGTGAAATGACGCACAACAAAATTATATCTTCCCTTACCTTTGGCCCAGAAGGTCCTGGAATCCCAGGGGGACCATGCAGTCCACGGATCCCTCTCAGACCCTGGTCACCCTAAGACCGAGAACACCAGACATGATCCGAGGGAAAAGTTTATGCTTCTGTTTATGAGTAAATCACTCAACCCTACCTTCTCTCCTTGAATTCCAATTCCTTGTGCTCCCTCAGGACCTCTGGAGCCAGGTAAGCCAGGCTCCCCCTTGAATAAGTAAACAATAAACTCACGATGCAATTTCATTCTAAATTAGCAAGCAACAAGGGTTATGGTCTACCACTGCACGACATATGGTATTTTACCTTCTGGCCTGGAGCGCCATCTTCTCCTGGAAGACCAGGCACACCGCTTAGTCCTGAAGCTCCAGGTTCTCCCTGAATTTCAGGCAGATACAGACCTAGCAGACCTGTCACGCTAATGAAAACCGTAGTCACTAGAAAAAACTTGCCCTACCTTTGGGCCAGGTTCACCGATGCCCCTTTCTCCAGGAGCTCCATGTTCTCCTGGTAAGCCTTGGTCACCCTAAAAAACAAGCTCTATTTAATGCACTGTGTGGATTTTTAAAGCAGGCCATGATTCTGGTTGTCCTTGTCCTTAACTCAACTCCTAATATCCATTCTTACTTTATTTACTATTAGCTGCAATGCCAATAAACTATTGGCCAAGAGCTGGCATGAATAAATGTTATAGTTGCTGTATTTGAGTAAATTGATTTGTTGCTTTAGCCAGACGAATAGATTCCAGTTCCTTCTCATTTATTCTTGAAGTTCTCCAGGTATTTCAATGATGTGGGTTTTTGAAATCTTTTAGGCCCTTCTATGATTTTGACCAGTTCTACAAGTCAGGTTGTGGTTGGTAAAGCAGAACACAGCGTTTCAAAAACTATCTGTTATAGTTCAATAGATGACAAGATAATTTCGAAACAACTGTTGGAATTAACAATTGATCTGTAACAGTTAATTCTGACAAAAGAGAGAAGAAAACTTAAGACATTTTTATGTAGGCAAATATGTTTTTATAGCAATGTACCCATTTCTGAACATAGGGATGTCCTGCAGAAGATGTTGTTGGCAAAAAACTTTTTTTTTGTTGTCACTCAACATGAGAATGCAAATCTGCAGTGTCAATAATTTTCTTATAACGATGTAGTCTGCTGTTTTCCTGCACTTGAAGCTAGATTAGGTTGCTTTAAAGTGAGTTTTCCGCATATACTGAAACTGACTGAGACAATACTTTGCTAAAGCATTTTTTTTTATCATGTTGTGTAGAAGGTAAATAAGGCAGCAAATATTCAGGCTAAATAATACAAGTACTGCTTACCTTACCTGTAAACATTATAAATTATGGCTGTTTTTACATTTTACAGCGGCACAATGTGGAGTATCTTCAATATAAAATGAATTCAATTTTATTCAGTATTATTTTGTACAAAGCCAGTTACCCTTTGAACAAACCTTAGGTCCAGGTAATCCTTCTCCTGGGACTCCCCTGACTCCTGGTGGACCTCTTGGTCCCTCCACTCCCTGCACATACATATTGATTTAAGACCCCTTTAAAACATTAATTGTCATGATTTGTTGTGTTTCTTTTGGGACTGAAGTATTTTTATCTACATTTAATCAAATTGCATTAAGATTACCTTTTCTCCCTGAATTCCCACCCCAGTTGGCCCAGCTGGACCGGGAAGACCCAGTGGCCCTAATTCACCCTGGATATAAAATACAACAGTAAGTTCAATGCAATATTTACCAACAATACATGACTTACCTTTTATGCATTTCTGGCAAAAGGTACATAAAACATGGTTAGACTTGTCAATCTAAAAACTGCGGTTCCAAAGTTTATGGTTTTAGATTTTGATTTTGTTGACATGATTGCAAGAAGAATCCAACTCTGCAACAGTCTGTAGCTCTCTACTCAAACTTTGCTATGGCATAAAGAACATACTGATCACAAAAAAAAACATTATTCATTAAATTGTTATGTAAATCCCTTTATTGTTTCAAAGTGGGAAAATTCACTCTCTGCATTTAACCCTTCCCAATGGGGAGCAGTGGGCTGCCACTGTGCGGCACCTGGGGAGCAGTGTGGGGTTAAGGGTTTTTGCTCAGGAACCCAGAGTGGAGGCTGTAGGGCCCAAGCCCACTGCTCTGACCTCTAGGCCAACACTCCCCCTATTATAGTAGAATTTGGCAGCGATGTTGATCTGATTCATTTCCCAGAGTCAAATATTAATATTTATGTTTTTTTTAAAATAACATTTTAACCATTAACGGACAATGCTGTTATATCATGACAAGTATGGCAGAGATCAGTAGAATATAAAATCTACCAGCAAATGGAACAACAACATACTAAATAATATGTTAAGAAAAATGAAAAGGCTAAGTGTTGCTTAAATTGATATTAGTGTTTTAACTGCAACAATGAATTAGTTCCTTTATTTATATTAAATGTAATTTATTAACTGCATTTTGTTTTTTAGTAGATTTATTTTATCCTAAATAATTTTATTTGTATATTATAAAAACAACCTGTTTATCCATCAAATAAGGAAATTATTAATAGTTGAAAATTATATGCATTATATCTGTTTCTTTGATTATTTACAGATGCATTTTCATCTCCCAAAATTAATTCTATGCCTTTTTTTTTACCCCTTTTGATGTCCAGATGCACATTTCAACACAAGAATTTCCTTTTTACCTTTAATTTAGCCACTTTTCATTTCTCAGTCTTACAATCATGAACACATAGCATCCATTCTAATCTATTTTAAATGAAACAGTTCTAAACAACCAATCAAAATGTATCTTTCAGCAATCACAGCAAAAAAAGTGCAAAAGTAAAGCTGGAGAATGAAAAAACAGATTTCAACACAGACCCGTTTCTGAAACCTCAGTGTCAGCAGCTGCCTGCATGTACATAAAACCTTGTGAACACAACATTTTATATAACCAGTGTTAATATATTTGTGATTTGAAATTACAAAGTGTATCAAGGTCTTTTTCTTCAGATTTATCTGTCATATGTTCTGTCTAAAGTTGAGCTTCTTATGCCTAACAGTGCAGTCACCAGGCTGCAGATCTTTGAACACCTTCTATGACAGACAGTCTTGTTTTCTTTGGATATGAATTAGTGCCTTAAAATCCACAAGGGAATGCAAAGGTTGTCATCTGCAGAGCATTCTGGTTCAAGTATTTGTTGGTTAGGCAACAAATGTGCCTCACTTTAATCCTGCCAAGCGTGTCTGTGCATGTGAGTTACTGTAAACGTTGTTTATATTAATAATGAGCTTCAACTGGCTGTAATTTTCCCACAGCAACCAGATGTTTAAGGTGGTAAACAACCATTCAGCCTCACTTTTAAGTTATAGTAGAACATCCCATAGCTCGGGGGATCTTATGGGATTCCCCTCAATTTTTAGACTGTGTAGTCTCCGCTAATTGAACTTACAACCCACCTTGTCTCCTTTGATGCCTACACCCTGCTGTCCCCTTGGCCCCCTTGGTCCTGGGAGCCCCCGCTCCCCCTGCAGAACAGATCAAAATTATTCCCATTGGAGTGAGAGAAGTAAAAAGAGCTACCGGTAATTGTTTGCTGCTGCAATTGATAATATCAAGATCCTGGAATGGGAAAGTGTGATTTTGAATGTGCTTATTTTTGTGGCATTTGAGCACCTAAAAATTTTATGATTCCAGTCATTGATGCTCAACTAAAATATATAGGTAAGACCTATATAAGAGGAAAATAAGCAGAAAGTGGACCCTAAATTGTTTTTTTGTTGTTGTTTTTTCTTTAATACAGGACCAGTTTGGGTGAATAGTGGGACCGGCATTGGTACTAGGTCTTTTGTGGATTTCCAATTTTCTTAATACCATTTTGAGAACTAGTTAACACCCCCAAGGGTGGTTCTTAGTCAATCCTGGTGGGTCTTATACAACAAGTCATTGTTGGCCTTCATTGGCTACTGATCGAAAATAGACAATTAAACATGCAAATGGTGGGATATTTGACTTCATAGAATAATATTAACAACAACCACATACATACATGTATTTTACAGTCACTTAGCATTCAACCTACAACGATAACATTATAACATTCTTTCTACATAACACTCCCAATACTTTCCTGGAAATGCTTTCCCAGAACATACCAGGTACTTTACTTTATGAATTTACCTGTTGGAACCAGGATACATTATAAAACAACATTTTTGAATCATTTTACAAAACTTACTAGGCAGGTTCCAGGACCTGGACCATTTACTATGGACATTACTAGATACATATAATTTATCAGGTAGAGCCTGGATGGTTTTGCAAAAGTTAAAAAGTCACTTATTGTTTTAAATAAACCTTTCCTATTTGTCTTTATAAAACCTTTATTTCCCACATAGCTTTCCATCTCCAGTTTTGTTTCTGGTTCATAAAAACAGCTTTTCTCCATGGTTTAAATGAGCTCACTAAAAATATGTTTTTTTTAAAACTCTTTCTTTAAAACACTGAAGCTCTTGGAGCCACTATACCATGCAAAAATCTATCTACCTATAGTCTGATCCTATTTTTTTACTATTCAGTAGTTCTGCTTGGTAGGATCTATTTTTCTTTTGGTTTGTTTTTTCTTTTTCAGCTTAAGTTTGAATAGACAAATATTTTCTGTGCCTTTCACTACTTGTACCTTCCGTCATTCCCCTAAAAAATAAAATAAAAGACAACTATTTCTATTTGTTTTCTAACAATATATGGCACTTAAAATTACCTTTGGTCCAGGAAGTCCTTCTCCTTGGGGCCCTTTTTCCCCTGGAACACCTTGCTGTCCTTGAGGTCCCTGTAAGAAGTCAAAGTGAGAGATCACCCTGACAGTACCAAGCTAATTCACAAGGTAAATCTAATACAGATTAGATTTAAAGTTTATTTAGCTTCATATCTTACAGGTGGGCCAGGTTCACCCACTCCATGAGGACCAGGAGGACCTGGGCGGCCCTGGAATCCCATATCGCCCTAAGGTATAGTAAAAACGCATTATGTGAAGCTAAAAGATAAATAAATTATCACACATGCTTATAAAATTGCAAAATATATTTTCAAAAGTCTCTAGAATTGCTCACCTTTGGACCAGGGAGTCCGATACCAATTTCTCCCTGAATTCCTGGAGGGCCAGGTAGGCCACGTTCTCCCTGTAATACATTAAAAAATACATAAAAAACAACATAAAGGTATGCAGTTGCACATATTCAGTATAGTACTTCTAAATGAGTTTGCTCTTTTATTTCACAAATAGGTAATACAAAAATTTAGAGGCCAAATGCTGAAAAAGCAAATGTCTAATTACACATCAAATCCGGTTCAAACTGATTCAGCATTTTCTCTTTACTTGTTTTAACTGTTTTATAGGATTCTTTGACTGGTTCTACTACTGTACATTAAAGGTTCTACAATCTCAATAGCAAAAAACACTATCCTATGAACTTCTTTATTGTTGACACATTTCAATAAACTGATAGTAGCAATTGCATAATTATTTATACAGAAAATAGTGGGTGAAGATCATCACCAATTACCTTTTTATGTGAAACACATACAAAATGTTTTAACTCCTTTACTTTTGAGGCACATATCTACTATGACCTTAAACACAAGTGGAGAAATTCAATGTCATAAATTAAAACTCCTGTTAACCCTTGTTGATACAGCCCACAGTCAGGAGACAAACATTGCTGCAAGCGCTAATTACTATGTATTTAGTTGCAGGAAACAGGCTTCAAGAAATCCTGTATTCAGGAGGATGATTGTAGTCAGTCATAATAGTGACAGGGGGAACACACAAGTGTTTTGCTTTGGGGTTAATACCAAAGTGTTACAACTCTAGTCCCTTGTTCAGGCTTATCATAAAAGGAAATGTCAAATTTCTACCAGAAATGTGGGATAAACTGAGTTAAATATGTCACAGAGGTGCTGACCTGGTTCCCCGGAGGCCCCTCTGGTCCAATATCTCCCTGTGGCCCTGGTAGCCCCTGGAGAAAAAAAATGGTGCTTTAAAACTTCATGATGTGAACAAATGATGAAGAGTAAAGAAATAAAAACTTAGTAACACCTAAAGTACTACAGACCTGCAGACCTCTTGGTCCTCTGATTCCAACTGAACCTTCTGGACCCTAAAGCAAACCAATCAGAAACTGCATTTAAAATAAAGTCTGATATAGAGACAAAAAAATGCCAAAGTATACTATTTAGCATGTCTCAACGTACCCTGTCTCCTTTGATTCCCGGAGTGCCGCACTCACCCCTCTCACCCTGCGTCGAAATTACAGATTTTACACATATGTACAAAAATTATCGGCACCCTTGTTTAATAAAAGAAAAAACTAGTTTTAAACCGAGAAAATTAATGAATAGAATTTCTATGAATATTAATGAAAGTCAGACATTGCTTTTCATGCTTCAGCAAAATAATTCACAAAAAAGGCCTGGACAAGAATTATGGTATCCCTAGAAATAACTGAAAATAATTTGACCAAAGGGACATGTTAAATCAAGAAACACATTTTCAGCACACGTTTCTACAGTCTCGTAATCAGTCACTGGGCCTATTTCAAGGACTAGAGGTAGACACTGTGCTGTTTTGTGACGCTGTGTGTACCACAGTCAACATGAACCTTAGGAGGCGAAAGAAGGAGTTTTATCAGCAAGCTTGATGTTTCTGTGACTACAGTGTCACATTCTATTCAGAAATTTAAGATCCATGGGGCTGTAACCAACCTCCCTAGATGTGGAAAGCTAGAGTAAAACTGATGACAAATCAAAGAGACGGATTATATAATTGATAACAACAGAGCCCAGAAAAACTTCTAAAGTGATTAAAGGTAAACCTCATGCTCAAGGTACATCAGTGTAAGTTTTACACAGTTTATCTGTCATTGTTTGAGCTAAAGTTGACTAAATGGGAGGTGACCAAGGAAGACACCATTGTTAAAAACAAATGATAAAAAAGCCTGAGTGAAATTTACCAAACTACATAATGCCTATGTTAGAATGTCCTATTGACAGATGAGACAATGCTTGAACTTTTTGCTAAGGCACATCGGCTCATTGTTTACATCTGAAAACATAAAGCATATCAAGAAAAGAACATCCTCCCTACTATGTAACATATTATGCTCTGGGGCTGGTTGCGTCTTCTGGCACAGGGTTTTCTGCGGGGTACAAGAAAATATCAAGACTGTGAAGGGAGTATACAGTGAAACTTCACAGTGTCAAAAAGCTTGGTCTCAGTCGCAAGACATGGATCTTATGACAAGATAATGGCCCAAAAACACACAGCTAAAGACACCCAAGAATGACTAAGAGGAAAGCTTTAACTCTTGCTAAGTGGCCTTCTATGAGACCTGACCTAAATCCTATCGAGTGTCTTTGGAAGGGGGTGAAACATGCCTTCTGGAAAAGGCACCCTTCAAACCTGAGACAACTGGAGCAGTTTGCTCATGAGGTGTCGACCATAACAACGTCTGAGAGGAGCAGAAGTCTCAACCATAGTTACAGGAATCTGATTGCAATGATTGTCTCAAAAGGTTCTGCAACAAAATATAAGTTAGGGGTAGCACCATTTTTGTCCAGGCATGTTTCATTAGTTTGGGTTTTTGAAAAGCATTGTCTGACTTTCAACTGGTCATTTTCATGTCTTATTTATTATTACTTTTGTTAGACGCAAGTTATTTCTTCTTTTCTTTCAAGAAAGAGACGTACCAACAATTTTGCCGATTTGTGTAGATGTATAGAAAACAAAATGTAAAACCTTTTGCTGATCTGAATACCTTATCTCCTTTGTAACCAGGCTTCCCCTGCAGATATTAATGATGATAAGAAATAATTAACAGAATGATGGGTATCAGTGAAATAATCCGTTTTGGTCATGATTTAGATGACTTACCTCAGCTCCCTCTCGCCCAGGTATTCCACTTAATCCTGCTTCCCCCTGGTTTTAAAGAGATATGATATTTGCAAATCATTCACTATTAAAATCATTGGAGTTGGAAAGTGTGCATTATCTAAATACAGAGTTTGAAATATTTTTTTTTTCTTTTCTCCCAAAGCTAGGATAAATCAAGTGCTTCTATCTTTATGTATTTCATAATTCAACTAAATATACTTCAGGGTGGTCTAATGGAGAACATGTGGCAGACAGGGGATAAAGGACAAATAAATACAAAAAATATGCTCATGAAAAAATAAACTAATAAATAAATAAATTAACATGTTAGCTATATTGATAAAAAAAATCTACTTATGATTTTAGAATTTATTTGTATTTATTTGGCTATGCATCATTTGTGATTTTCAACTTTTTATTCCACAGTTCATTTCCTTTTGTTGAAATGTACATAACAAAGATTATGAGTTGAACTAGAAAAAAATGGAAACAGAACTAAAGATCTATGTCAAAATGTGGTAAAAGTCACTTAACTTTAACTTGCATTTCAAATAACTTAATTCTGCATTTGTTATAATGAGAAACAGAGGCCAACTTCAAGTGTTGCAATGTCCAAATTCCTCAGAAGTCAGTGAGATTGGACATGAGAAACATTCTCAGCCATGTAAATATCAGTCCCGAAAAAGAAAAAGAATAAGCCTCCTACGTAATGTAATGTATTATTGCAAACAGATCTATTGTATTAGTATATTTGCATGTTTTCAGTGATGCTCTTAAGGAATCTAAGATTCATGAAACAACCTTTCAAACACTTTTCTGAGCTCTTGTAAAATACTCCATATCTCTGAGGATAATCTACAAAATAATCCTATTTTATTGAAGGGACAGTTTTGAAAGTCAAGTTCTGTTTAAGTCTGAGTCACTGACACCCACTACCTTACCTGGCCAGACAGACTGATTACGCTGTGTATATCTCCTAAACAGGTTGTCAGTCTGGGAAGATTAAGACTCTTCAATATAAAACGGACCCGACCAATCACAGCCCAGGAAGCAGGAGTTTATTCTTGCACAACAATTACCCAATATGCAACTTTGCTTCTCTTTTACCATAGCAGTCAATATTGCACTGGCAATGTATTAGAGATGGGCCTTATTCTGTTTTTAAAGAATATATCTTTACAATTTTAAGAACAGGTTGCCTTTTTTAACTGAAAAATATGCTTTTGCTTCATATCGGTAGTTATCAGATTGGTTCCAACATGTTTCCGATGACTATTGGTCCCGTCCTGGCAAACTTTGAATTTGGGCCCTACGCACTCCTTTCCACAATGATACACTTTGTCTATACAGTCTGGTTGGCCAACTACTGTCTTTTCCAAATCTCCTCCCCCATTAGACGTTAGAAATTAAAAAAAGAAAATCTGTCAGCGACTGATATAAAGAAGGGTATATGTTTTTTTTTTGCTGCACACATGAAAAATTACTAGGAGTCTAAAGTACTTTGATGTATCAAGAGTGAGAAGCTCTACTGGTAAGATTTTTTTCATTTACAATCCATCCATCCAGGAATACTAAATCCACACTCTCTTTAACTGACAAGTAAAACAAATATTTGACAGGCATCATACTTTGCAATTTCCTGACATGTTCCATATTTCAGGTATATAATCAACAATCAGGTGATGTTAGAATTAACCCTTTGACAGATTCCACATGAGCTAATTTTCACTGCTTGTTGGGGAATTTCCCGCCTCATATGTCTATCAAAGAAACCCACCTTTTGCCCTTTCTGCCCTGGAGCTCCGTCATCACCGGGGCGACCTTTCTTACCCTGAGGAGAGGAACAAAAATCGGGGTCAGAATTCGGGGATTTTCTGTGTTTGACATTTTGTTCCCTTGTTGATAAGAGCTCAAATGACTTTAACAGTTGACTCATTGACCTCCAAGACCCATAAATATAAGCTTGTCATGAGCAAGATTTACAAAGTAGAAGTTAATGTTACTCTAGACAGGTAGAGTTGCAGCTCAAAGCAGCCTGACATCTGACAGGCCTCTAGGACAGTTACAAAGAGACAAGAGGCATCTCATTCAGTCACGATTTCTGATCTGAGCTGCACCTGGCCTACGTACACATCTGTTGCTATCAACCAGATGTCAAAACCTGGTAGCAATTAAGCTAACAACAGCAATTATGTGCGCCCCTATTGTCTGGGTGTAAGAATTTAAAGAATTTCTCTGAGGTAAGCACACCTGGACACTTAGCATGGATAGTCAACCTCAGAGCTTGGCCATAACTGAGTTGTTGCAATCTTAAGAGGGGGCATCCTTAGCCAAAAGTAGTTTATTCAAGTATACTAAAAGTGCACTAATTTCATACTTAAAATCAGGCAGTGCACTTAGAGTTTACTTATTCTAAACTATATTTATATACTTAACAATAGTATAGTCAAGTGTACTTAACTATACTATTGTTTACTTTATTGTTTACTAAAGTATACTTTAAGTATACTTTGTTAAACTTAAAAATGTCCCAATTTAGTTAGAAGACACTAAAAGTACATTGTTCAGTATACATTCTAAACTTATACGTAAGTATTCTTAATAGAGTTTTCTTCAAGTATACTACTTTTTGCTAAGGGCAGGGCTGAATTTGAGTTTAATTAAAAGTGAAAATATGCGGTCCCAGTATTTAAAGCAGTATTTAAATCTTCTTTTCTGTGTCCCTCTCTAATGTGTCCCCTGTGGATAAAGATGTTAAAACACTCCTGCATAAGGATGTGCAACTAGCATAAAAAGTAATTACAGAATCATGAAAAAAACAAAGGTCCATCCTCAGATTTCATATTGAGTTAGCAAAACCTTTCAAGTTTAATTCGTAATTGATAATAAGCTTAACAGGAAAAGTGTTATGAAATGCCCTTGCAGAATTTTAAGCCATCTTTAATTTTCTTACTCCAGAATTTTCATTTAGAAATGACCTTGACTTTTAAAACAACATAGTTATTAATTAAATATAATTTTTAAACATTGCAATTTCTTGTGAGATTATATTTTGTTCCAATACGACCTGAACCTTGTTGGCATGTTATGTGTTAGATTAGCACAGATGTTCATAGTTCAGGTCTGGTATTCTGCTGGCAGGAGAGCAACTAGTTGTGCAATTTAGAGACCTGGACTTTTATGGAGGAATGGCAAGTAAAGGGTCATCGTTAAAAGAAAGCTGCAATAAAACTTGTTTGCATTTTGCTACAAGCAATGTGGTGGCACAAGGTTCAAGACCGGCCTGATAAATTTAAAACTGTGAAACATGGTGGTGGCAGCACCATGCAATGGGGATGCTCTTCCTCTGTAAAAACAGGCAAACTAGTTTGGATTGATGGTAGAAAAGATGGAACAATATACAGAAGTATACTGGAATATGTTTTGCTGTAAAAATTAAGTATAAAGCGCTATCCAGCTCAAAGAAAAAAAATCAATCAAATGTTAGAAATATAGTTTTCAAAAAGTAGGACCTCTACCTTAAATAAGACAGACTCATCCTGGTGTTTTAAAACTGGGCTATTTTCATTAGTATGAAAACTGAGCACATAAAGACTCTGAAGTTCAACCTTTATCTTCGTTTGTTGTAAAGATTTGTGACGTTTCCCTTAAAAGATAAGAGTGGAAAAACAGTAGGGATAGTTTAGGATTGTACAGAACGTGACACATTGGCTGTCTTCCTCACTTTAGCTGCAATTGATAGCGGCTAATACTCACGTGTATTTTAACAACTTTTAGTTTAGTCCTCCCTCACACGTCTCAAGTTGGTGCAAAAAACAGCTGCACGCCTTTTAATTGGAGGACGTAAGAGGGAGCACATAACTCCCATTCTGGACGCTCTCCTTGGCTGCATTTTCATTTTAGGGTTCATTTTAAGATTATTTTCTTGGAGGTATCGAGATCCAAACTGAAGCTTAGAGGAGACAGATCTTTTTCAGTTTTAAAACTTGGCTTAAGACCTATTTTTATTCTTTGGCTTTTAACACAGCATGCGACTCTCTGTTTTTGCGATTTTGTTTTGTTTTATTCTTTTTTATTTGGTTTTATAGTTTTTTATTAATTCATTTTATTATATATTTTTAATCCTTAACATCTCTATGTTGTTTTTATACAATTTTAACTTTACCTGATATGTACAGCCCTTTGTGGCAGCTCTGGTTGTTTTAAAGGGCTTTATTGTATATTTATTATAACCTTAAGACTAAACCAGCAGACTATGCCGGCTGAGATGTGAAGCTATTGCAAGATTTTGTAATTTATTCAACAGAATCAGAATTATTAACTATAAGGAACAATAATGCAGTAGTACCTTAAAGGTGGCTGCAGAAATCAATTGGTGAAAATTTTAACAGCATTTTAGGATCTGCATGCTTTTAAACAGCTAAAGCTGAAACATATATAAATGATGGGAGCTTCACAGATAACTTATACTAATCAAAAACATTGTTTTTGCAAGTAAGGAGACAAGCAAAGAAACAAACAGAAAAAATGCCTACAAAAGCCACAATACAAATGCTCTGAGCTACGAAATCATTATTGTTTTAGATTGCTATATCTATAGGTATAAAAAAAACATATCATTGAAGACAGTGAACTAGTTTATATAGCTCTAACTTTAGCAGACTTAGCAGAACATTTTTTTTAAAGGATGAACTTTTGCAACTCTGCAAATTGCCCATCCCCCAATAATGAATTAACTCATGCTATTTTTTTTCCTCCATTTTTTGTCTATCATAATTAAATAACGCTGTATCCAATCTTATAGGGACACAGTCAAAGTCCAAAGTCTAGACATTAATCTGACAGTCTATGACAAGATTTAAAGATGGATGTATAATTTAATCAGAGTTTGGGCCATTTTGCAGACATAAATAGACAGACCTGGTAAAGACATTTGCAGTTGCAGAAAACTTTGCAATATCAATAAAATACACAAAAGGTTAAGACTGGAAGTTGAAGACATGGAGGCAAAGGTACATTTGGTTAGGAACTGTATCAATTTAGTTTTGCAAGTTCCTTTTTTAGCTATTTTGAACAGCAAAAGAAAATGTGCAATGCGGACTTTTCAGGAACATAAGGGCCATTTTCAATGTTTCCCTAAAAATGTAATTTGGATGAACAACACTAAGAAGACACAAAGGAACATCAAATGGTGAATGCTTACTGCAGGCCCGCTGGGTCCCCTTTCTCCTTTCTCACAGGCGCATCTCTGAGGCAAAGGACACTTGAAAAATTGATAAATATTTATTAGACTTAAATAAACTGTAAAAAATGTCAATAACCTTTATTAATCATACGAACTGTACTTACTCCTTCATCAGCTATAGCAGTCTGAAAAGAGAGGGAAAAAGTCAAGTTAGTTGCCTTCCATAAAGGTAGCTTTTGTTTATTGCATCTATGTATAGGGTTTGTTCACAAAAGAAGAGTTTTGTTTTTTTGTCAGAGATAAAGCTTTAAAATAGCAGGGACATGTTTATACAAGCCATGTATTCATCAAGGAAAAAACCTGTATGTGTGATGTTTGGTCAGATAAATCGAATTTTATTACATGTAGCTGTAGATCTCTGCGTAAATCCTGGCATAGATATCCTGGTATGGCTGCAGAATTCCTTTATTTGTTTCTTTAAGCATTGTCAAATACCTTAACATGCCCGTCCATGTATTCATTCTGGAGAGATGCTTGTTTAAACTTAAAACATCCATTTTGCTTTGTGTGTTTTGTCAGTTGAAAGACAACGGGTCATACTTACTAACTCAGTGAAGATTTTTTCTACTAGGTCTTCATCCTGCAGATTGTGGAGGAAGCGGGAGGCCGGAGAGCTTGCCAGCAGGCGGAGTTTGGCCACGTTGGCTGGTTCGTTGGCTGTCCGGGTGATGCCCAGAGCGAAGAACTTTATGCCTTGGTTCTTAGCGTCAGCGACAGTGGAGAAAATGTCTGGGTTTCTTGGATGGGAAACACCATCTGTGAACAACACCACTACTTTGATACTGCCTGGTCTGGATTCCTCCTGGTAGATCTGGGTGATGTTGGTGATTGCGTAGGTTGTGTAGGTGCCATGTCCAATGTAGACTATGGGGGTGATCCGGTTCTTAAAGTTTTCTGATCCCCTCCAGTCTCTGAGAGTTTGCTCCTTGATAACATGACTGCTGTACTGGAGCAAGGCCACCCTGGAACTCAGGCTGCGGCCGGTTGGCAGCCGTGCACCTTGGAGTCTGTCCACCATGTCCATTGCAAAACGCTTTTCCTGCTCATGGTTGTCTTTTGCGCTCTCAGAACTGTCCAACAGGAAGGAGAGCTCCAGGCCGCAGTCTTCATCCAGGATGGCTGGAGAATAAACACCCAGAAATGTTAGAATCTTTAAAGTTTCTGCAAATTCACAGTAATCACAAAGTTCCAAGGTTAATATAGTTAAAGAATTATACAGAGCAGTAGATACTACAGTGTTGCAGCACATTTATTATGGGAATACTATAAAGTGACTTAACTATTAGATCACTTTAATAGAATAAACCAGTTTGTCTGAATGAAAATTCGTCACCAAAATAATTTCTTGCCGTTCTTATTAGACTATATCTACAAACATCAAAAACAGCATTTTACAGAATTAAAAAATTATTTATGATCAATTCTTAAGAAAAACAACAAAAAACTAATGTAATGATTAAAAGATCACTTGGTTTTGTTAATTAACAGGGGTGAGGTTTACATTTTATTACTTAAACTAGAATCTAATCTTTGTTGATGTAATTGACTTAAGTGAAGACAGACAAGCATATTTATAATACTAACATGTATCTTTAACTCAACAAAGCAGAACTTCATAGAGAAAGGTAACTAAACTCAGGAAAGATCTCACATTTATTATGAGTTTAGTCACCTCATAGAAATCTTTGAGAAGTGGTTTTAGTGTTAGTTTAGCAACTTAATTTAATCTTGGGGGATAAAAAAGAAGATATTAATTTAGATTCTTAGAACCAGCTTTTCAAAACCTGAACCATTAGTGAATATATATTTTAGTGCCTTCATGTGACCCAAAATTGGATCAAAAGGGATTTTTACACTAACTATTACCTTGGTGTATGGGCTTTTCTTTGCATGGAAGGATGTGATGATCAGAAGGCTGTTTGTTTCTAGCATAGAACATTTCAGATTTCCTAACGTAGTGTTCAGTTGTATGCAAAGGAAACGACAAAGGAAATACCCAAAGACAATGACTGAGTGAGACTAAGCAATCCCAAACTCATGTCCACAGTGGAGAGTTGGAAAATCAATTCACTATTAAATGGCTTCATAAAAAAAAAAAAAAAAAAATCAATGATGCAAATAAAAACATAAAATCTAACTGAAAAAATTAAGGTCCTAAAGTGTCTTTTAAGGCAACTTGTGCTTCAAGGAGAGGAGTCATCATAAAGGGCTGATTAATCAGTGGTTCACCACATTAAAGATTTAACACATTAACCAGTTTTTAATAAATTAACTAATATACTAAATGGCACACAAAAACTAACATAAAACAATATCTTTTCTTTAAGAGACACTTTGAGAGATTATGTAGCCTTTTTTTACATATTAGGTGAGAAATACATTATAGTTTGGAAACTCTAGTATGCTGGCTGCAAACATAAGGCTTTATTGGTAAGAACTTATAACCTAGATGGGACATTGGAAGATTAATTTAAATAAATCATTTCAAATCTGACACATATTCTAAATCAAGTCACAAATCGATAACATCATACTTGCACTACTTGGTGAAACTTCAAAATACCTTTTCAAATGTTATTTTTACTGCATTTTGCACCATATCTATTTATTGATTTATTTTAGCACTGCTCTGAACCTTCATGTCTCTCCTACACTGTGTACACTTAATCACTGCTGCACTTTATGAATGGAAATGTTCTTTTTTACTGCTAAGCTGCTGCTCGGTCACTGTCGGAAAGCTGTATAAACGAAATTTAGTTTTGTATACACTCTGGTTATACATAATAATGAAAAAAAAGTTTGTCTAAGTCTAAGTCTTGGTCAGAAACCCAAATAGAAACCTAAGATAAATAGTACTGATGTTGTACTGCAGCAGTTGTCAGAAGCACTTTTTAAATTTCCAGTAGCTTTCTCACCTTGTCCATCATGAATACCTGCAGCTACCGGCCTGGCTCTGGATTTCTTGTAAGTTCTCCTTTCCTCAATAGAGTCTTGAGCCAAAATGCTGGACAGCAAGGAAAACAGCAGCACTGACGTAAAACGGGGCAGCATCCTGACCCCTGAGGAAAAACAGATGTCGGAAATCATCATAAATAAATTAACCTGAGAAGACCAGACATACATTTTAACATCAAACTGCAGTGGTAAGAAGGGGAGAGTGAACCCTTAAAAAACATGGAAATATTCTCAGTTTTTTAAAAGATGTTCAGTTTTCCAGTGTTTCTGTTCCCTACCTTCAAATTAGGTCAAAATGCAAGCTTGAGAGATGCAGCAGAGGGGCAGCATGGATTGCAGGCGGACTGTGCCCTGTAACAGTAGCTCTTGGGTTAGAGAACCAAAGACCCAGAGATGCTCCCTCCTCCTTTATAAGAAGCAAATCTTGTAGAGTCGTGCCAAGACTCCTGCTGTTGCCCCAAGGCAGGGGAACGTCACCAGGGTGGGCGTGTAGGACTAAAAAAACAATGTATATGTTTGCTGAGTAGTGTTTAAATCTTCTTGTTCAGCTGGGTGCAGATGTGCACCTTTACAAAAAAAAAAAAAAAAAAACCTTTAATGCTGGAAAAATCTGTTTTCATGTAACTTTGATTTAAAGTTGGTGATTTGCACACCTTTAGGGTACAGAGCTTGCTTAAACTCTTGGAAAGTACAAACCAATTTTAACTCAGTGATTTGTGTGCCTTTTTAAGGAGAAACCTGAACAGTGTAAGAGCTTTACAGTTGTAAAAAAAATTTAAAATAAAAGATCATAATATTATAAATTCTACCCATTGGGAGGATTTGAAGTTCAGAGGCCATATTGGCAAAGGGACTGGTTTTCATTTAGAATTTCAAAATGATCATCATCACTTTGCTTAAGGAAATTGGGTACATCCAAGGTAAAGACCCAAACATTGTTTGAAATATTAGCAACAGAATGCATAAAACAGGAAATGAGTTTGTTTTTAAGATGAAAAAGTGGATATTTTCCTAAACTAAAGCTCTAAACATACCCAAACTTAACCTTAGAACGATATGAAAAAGCTATTTCAGTTCCATCAAAATCCATCTGTCAAATGATGCTAAAGCCTAAATCCACTGATAAGTTTTTGTTTAGTTATTTCAGTCTGCATTATATTGAAGGAGTTTTGCAGCAGGAGGTGACAGGCATCCGAAATATTTTCCGCACATAAATTAATGCAACCTGCAGGCGACTTCTTACCCTCCCGACCCTGAAGAATGACCATCTGACCATTTAGTGGTCCGGCTGACCCTTGAGTGATCTCCTCCTGGTGTGTTTAAGATGAACTGAGTCCTGTACAGACTGGCAGAAAATTTAGGGAGGCTTCTTCAACCCACATTGCTCATGTTGAAGAAGCTTTGTGTTGCAGAGCCCCAGGCAACAAGTGATTAGAGGACACTTTCTGACACAAAGGAATTTTGCACTCTATGGGGGTTTGATGACAGTTTGAACAAAAAGAACTTTACATCTTCTCTTCACTGACAGCTGTCCAAAATGTACATTTTGGACATTGTTGAGTAATTAAATTAAAGTAATTTTCCTAATTTGTTTGGAATTATTTGAAAATTCAGCTGGTATTTTTTTTGGGTGGGGGTTGTTGATTGTTGTGCATGACTTCAATCAATCCAAGCCATTTCTCCCATTTTCAACAGTAGCTAAGCAACATTTACCCCGTGTCCTGACTTGTTTATACAAACCAGGGAACCAAACACTCTGTAAGAAATAATTAGATCTCATTACTTATTTCTTGTTCCATTGTATTTTGGATATTAAACATATAATTACTAGTTATCAACCTACAATTTCACCGGATATGTGAAATGTTTTGTCAAAATTCATGTCTGTTGTTTAACATAATCTAACATAACATGATCTATGATTTTTATAACTCTTTTTTCTAAATGTTTCATACACTATTAAGCAAGAAAAGTATTGACATCTATCCACCTTGTTTCACTTCTGAAAAAATTACTTTAAAGTTTGTCATTTTTCTGTAACAAAATGTTAAAAAGTTCAAGGTTTGTAATATTTCTGTTTTTTGCTGTTGTTTTTTAGAACTATATTTCATTGCAGGACATTGTTTTGGGGGATTGATGAGCTGTCTAAGAAGCAGGCTGTCTCATTCCCTGCAGACAGCAGAAGTCTCCACAGGCCGTGTAGGAAAATCAGTTCCTCAAAAATAAACAATTGAAGGATTTATAAGCATTCTGACAGGTAACTTGTAGCATCGATGCTAATAAACCCTCCAAACAAAGCAAAAATGATATCTTACAATAGAGGGGTTGCATATCATTACTAGAACAGACCAGGGTTTCTACATGGTGGGAATAACTATAAAAGAAGTTCAAAAGGTTGTTTCATGGAGAGGCTGGGAACTTTTGAGATTTGTAAGTTTACCTGTTTTAGGAACGTCCAAAAATTAATGTTTTAATTTTTTATTTAATTTGTTTTTAATTTAGGTGTAAATAAAAAAAAATGCTAAATTGTTATACAAAAACCCCTTTGTGAGAATGCATTTATGCACAAAAAAGTAAACATTCTTGCTGTAAGGCATATTTTATTGTTAAAAAAAACCCACATACAGATGCTGCAAAGACTTAAAAATTGATATAGCAAAGTTTTTGATTCAGCTCCCTCTCCTTTGTCAGCAGATTGGCACTGTATTTCTTGAAAGCATCAAAATCCTGCAAAAATACCACATGTTAAGAACTCAGTTCAACTTCACTCAGTGATTTGTGGTAAAACGAACCTTCTGCAGCTCCTGCAACTCAGACGTGGATCTGTCAAGAGCGGCTGTGAGTGACCTCACTCGTCTGTCTGCATTTACTGCTTCTGCCTCTGATGCAAATCTGAGGAAAGTTAAGAAGGAGTTATGTTATCATCTCTGAAATTATAAAATAGTGTTTCTGATTTAGTTAAGGGAGGATGGGTATTTAGGGAGAAAGAAAGAGTCGGGGAATTCTGTAAGAATGTATAAAAAAAAACAAGGAAAAAACACTATTGGGTAAATATGAATTTGATTAGTTTACTGCAACATGTATAGTATAACCCTTCCATATTCTAATGCTGTCTTCAGGTTTGTTTTTATTTTTATTTATTAAAAGTTTGCTATTTCATTTCTCACACACACCAGGTGATGGCACTGTTTGAAATGGATCATGGGGATTAGCTGTCAGAGTTCTTTCATAAAACATAAAGAGTAAAATAAACCAAAAGCAGTTTTAAAACAAATCGATCAAGTCTGCTGATCTCACAGTCAGAGGAATGGAGTTCCAGTATTTTTGGAGTCACTGAAGAAAAAGTGCTGTCTTCTTTTGTTTTCAGGTTCGTGCATGGGACAACCAGCAAATCTTGATCACAGGACAGCAGAGCTCTGCTTGGGTTTTCAAGAATGTAATAATTCAGCGATGCAGTCTGGTTTCTGTCCAAGTAGAGCTCTCCAAATCAAGAGTAGTAATATCTCGAAATGTAATCGTAATGAACTGAGAGCCAAAGAAGCTGCATAAACAGTGGAGTCACATGACAAAATGTTGATGATCTGACCAGAAGCAGCATTTCATACAGACTGTGGTTGCTGAGACGTGTGTAATGCATATGGCAATAATTAAGGATTGATAAAAGGACGAAGTTTAACAATGTTTTGTTAATTATGGAAACCAGAAGGAACCAGAGATCTCACCTGATCTCAAGGCTTAATACAGCAGAGGTCATGTCACCAAACGTCCAAGGAAGCTGCTTTATCTTCTAAGTCTCTCTTTCAGGTGCAAAGAAGATGACTTCAGTTTTTTCTTCATTTAAATGAAGAAAACTTTTGGTATTTCAGCCTTTAATTCAGGCATTTTAACAAAATGCAGCTTCAAAAATTTATTTTGTAAAAAAAAGAAATATACATCTGTACACTGACGCTCCACTGCTACAGACCAAGTGTAATCATCACATAGATTCATATATTTTATAAACTGCAAATACTTTTATGCACCAGGAGTTTTTTTTTCCTGTTTTATTCTGATCAGAGTCTACAGAGTCAATACGATCAGCCTAGATATCCTCCATGAGGGGCTCAAAGTGCTGGCCTCCACTCCACCAACTTCCTGACCGAATAATTTTTTTTTTTGCATTTCAGAACTGTAACAAAATGGTCAATGCTGGTATAAATACTTCTGTTTGAATCATTGGAAGTGACTTCACCTCTCCTGTGCTCGAACTCTGGCCTTTTCCTCCTCTTTCAATTTTCTTTCCAACTTTTGAATTTGTTCCTGTGTTTCCTGTGTGGAAGATGAAGATGTTTGTAAGACAACAAGGTTTTGCAAGTAGCAATATTTTAATCATGAAAAAACAAAGCCTTTTGAATTACCTGGATTACTTTGCCTCTTTCTCTAGAAATTTCCAACAGTTTGCCTTTTCCTCTGGTTAAAGTCGTTATGGTTTCTGTCATTTCTATTTCCTTTAGCTTGTGTTCTTCTTCGGCTTCTGCAAGTTTATGCTTCAAATCTACTTGTGGAAAAACCTTGTGTGTTTATAATTATGTAGCTTTTAATTTAAAAATGAAAATGATTATCCACCTTGCCTACCGTTACAGCTCTCCAAAGCTTCTTTGTGCTTTCGTTGTGCATCAATCAACTGTTTCAGTAGCGACTCCTCCTTGGCTTGATGTTGGACTTCTTTTTCTCTGAGCTTTGTTTCATATCCAGCTAATATCTCCCTTTAGATTAAAGGAAATTTACATATTAAGGGTTACACTAAGAATGTGTTTTTAAATAGTAATCCACCAGGTATTTGTGGAAAAATGTGTTTTCTTTCCAAAATAATTGTTATACAAATAATTCTGTTTGTTTAGCTTTAGTGTAGTGCAGGTAAAGAGAATAAAGCATCTTCAATATTTCCTACTCCATTAAATAAAAACAGCACATGTTGCCATTCTGACAGGAAGTAGTTCTTCAATATTTTTTATGAACATGGTACAATAGACATTTTTTTCTTTTAAATCACCTGCTTTTCTTTTCATTAAGTGCACATTTCTCTCTCAATAGCTTGTTTTCTTGCACAAGCTTTTCAACCAGCGCTTCTTTATCCTGAAGCTTCTGTGAAAAGAGGGAATCATTTTCCAACTGCAGTCGCCTGTTTTCCGATTGCAGCTTAGCATTTTGATTTTTGTGCTCCTTCATGAAAGAAATGATTCCCTGATTGTTGTCAGCCAGATAAGTGAATCTAGTTGCTAATATCTCGGATTTCTTTTTTTCATTAGCTAGTTCTTTCTGGCTGTGGGCAACTTGGTCTTCAAGGTCAGAGTTCAGTTTCTGCAGGGCTTGGTAGCGCAGAAGTATTTCATCTGCTCTTTTCTTCAGTATGCAGGTCAAAGTAGATTGTTCATCTATCCTGGACTGTAACATCAGTTCCCCTCCTAAGTCTTTGGCAGCGAGGGTTTGTGGACTCTCATTTGGTGATTGAATATTTTCTTCATGCTGTGAACAAAAGGAAGAACTGCTGAATTATAAACACGTTAACTCGTTTTCAAAAGAAATGTAGAAATAGGCAACTGAAATCTTTGTTTTTGTATGAAAAATGGCTTAAACTCATTTTGATTTAATTGGAATTTAACTATAAAGATATTTTTTTGGATCTTGGAATATTTTCTCAGTTAAATATTACACAGAACTTTGGCTTTGGTATTTTAACACATGTAATACAATATCATTTGAGTTATTACATGTATGGTTAGTGTGATTGTCCTAATGGAAATAAACAACATACACAGTCTCATGTTGTCTGCAGCCTTTAACAGCATTTACCGTATTACCGGATTGACCTTTACTTTGCTCATTCAATTAACAACAGTTTTCCTGTGGATGAAGAATACAAGCATCCCTACAGGATGATACTCCCGCCACCGTGTTATACCATGTCGATGGGTTCAGTTTTCTGTGGCACACTTTTTGCTTTATAAACATAAGAAGGTGCCTTTAGTTGACTTCTAAAGACAGCTGGCTGTACTGGATTGCAGAGCAGAAAAGGTGCATCACAGGTTTACACAGGCAGAACAAAAAAAGTTAGGAAATTCCAATATGAATACTTATAAATGAAACATCTTAGGATGCAGTTGCAAATGCACTGTTTGCCTTTGTTGTACAATAGGCTACAATGGAAAGCAGATTAAATAAATCATAAATTTAAATAGCAATGATAAAAAAAATAATTAGATTATTCATATAGGTAAATATTTATATATATATATATATATATATATATATAAGATAGTGTTCGAAATTGAATTTAACGATATTTACAAGTATAATTGTACACAGTGAGGTAACGTTTTTAAATATCTCATAATCTTAAAAAGATTATGTGACGTCATTAAATCAGACAGAAAATAATCGTAGATAGGTGCAGATGTCTGGTTACTACAGGTCAAAACAGCCCCATAAAACTCAGTATTTAAGTTTCAAAGTTTTATTCTTTTTACGTACCTCCATCTCTGTTTCTCATCCTCTTATAATGCGGTTGGTATTTCTCAGTGCTCAATGATGTGTCAACAAATATATTATCTGTTATGTCATTTTCTTGTATTTTAAGTTGTTCCGTTGCTAATGGCAACCGTTTCATGGTCCCCCCCCCCCATTCTTTGGCTCCGCCTGGTGAGGACACACATTTTGACACAGACTCAGTTTAAAACGAAGCTTAGAAAACCGGATAACCACAAATACTGCCATCTATCGACAGTTTTATTGAACAAAACTGTCTCTCAAAACACGTGTAAACAGAAATAAATCCATCACTGTTCCTAAAAACCAATAGGAATTTTTAGAGGTCCTGGGACCTTCCTATCAAATTTATCCTTATAATTCATTTTGTTCTCTTACCTTTCAAAACTATTAGATAGTTTTTATTCTTATAGGCTATTTCAAACAACATCCTTCTAATTTTAATTTGATAAATTGCTTCTACTGTGGACATCATATTTTATAAATTTAAAAAATACTTTAATATTTTTTATTTTAACGGTTATCTTTTTGTCACCTCTACCTTTAATTTTAATTTGTTTAGGTAAAAGATAAAACTGTAGATCATGGTAATTTCTCAGGACTGCAGTATCAAATGTAACGAATAAAAAAAAAAAAAAAAAAAAAAAAAAAAAAAAGATTATACAATTATATTTATCCTTAGTAACCCCCCCAAAAACTCAGATACATTTTCCCAAACGGATATTATATTTTAATATAGATCTCTGTAATTAATAATAATAATAAAAAAAAAGAGTAAAATCAGTAAATTATAGGCACTTGATTAGCTTATATTTTCCTTTTTCTTGTTAACAAAAAAATGACTTTTAAAAATAGTATCTCGTGAGAAGTGTTTTCGTTTCCTATAAGAAAAAAACACTTCTAGCAGGGCTAAAAATATTTTGAGTGTGAATTTTCCACCATTGTAAATAAGTTTAGGCTTTACGACCAATATTTTGTTGGCCTCACTGTTTTCTACCACAAGATGGCGCCATTGAGCTTTTTAAAAATCCCCAACGCTGGTTGGTTTCTCTTAAACTTTCATCCATTGGAATTTGGTCTCATTGATTTGAAGTTACATTAATGAATATTGATTTATTTAATTAATTATTAGAGTAAGCGTTAATTTTGATGTAAAAAATGTATTGGTTTTATTTATCCTCTCTTTAAATGATGTGATCATTCCAGCTCCCCCAGCATGAATATAAAAACCCCGTTAGTTCCCAAGCTTGGGGTAGATTTATAACAACAGCGACGACCCGCTGAGAGTGTAAAATCACTGGCTCTGAGGACAGCTCGGACCTGCGAGGCATTATACAGCTTCCAAGGCCCACAGGGATTTATCCGGTGGGCCGAGGGCTGGGCTGGAGCTGGGAGGGAGAGGAGGAGGGGACGGTGATCCTGGCCCTTTGTGCACGCCCCTTTTCATCAACTAGCGGGCCCCGGGAGACACAGAGGAACTCTACAGCATCCCAGTCCCTGAAGCTCCTCCATCTGCAGCGCGGAGCTGGAAGGGCCAGAATGTGGAGAGCACCGCTGCTTCAAACCTTTTTCCTCTTCTTATTTTCTGTTAGATGGTGCCATGCTGAAGGTAGGCCTTCCAATCTTTTATTCCTCCTACTTTTAGTCTGTGTGCATGTGTGCAGCTGAGTGATTCTCTGAGGAGCTGCAGTTACATGTGACTCACCCTGTGCACTTGTTGCTCATCAGTACAAAGCACAGGAATTCAAGCTGATCAGTTGCCCAACCAAGTATATATATATATATATATATATATATATATATATATATATATACATCCTACAGTAAACAGGACAAACCTGTGAC